GATGATGGACCCACCGCTCTGCTGCATGTATCGAGACTTGATGTACGAAGAATACCCGCAGCCGGAGCCGGGAGACATCACTCGTATAAAGTGACTAGCACCGAGGCTATCATCGACCTCGTACCGAGAACCTGCCTAAGAAACAAGGATGTCGGCTAAACCAAAACAGTTAATTTCAATTTGATTGTATACAAAGAAATTACTTTGAAATACATAGATTGTAATTTTTGGTAAGAAAAATAAATAGGTAGATCATAATTTATGTCTTGGCTCGATGGAAAAGATCGATAAACATTTTACGAGACACAAAGAAGCATTACCTGATACATAATAGTGCAGGCTGCGATCTGAGCACCAAGGGCTTTTGCAGATGCGACCTTAGCGCCATTCATGAGCTCGGACCTCATCACCTCAGTGGGTCCGTAGTCAGGCTTTGGCCAACAGCGGCTTTGACGCCGGTGACTCAAAGACAAGCCTCTTGTTAAGAATTCCTTTTTGATTTGGAAACGACATCTGCATAAAAACATGCTGTTTTTGGAATAAAATTTAATATTTGCGGACTTGAGAGCTTAAAATTGATCTAGATCTAAACAATAACTTAATAAATTAGTCAAAGTTGTCTCATTTTGTCATAATTGACATCGACGAAAAATATCTTTATGAAATCCATACTTTACTCTTCGATGGAATTTAACGTTAATGAGGTTATAAATGAAATCAACCTATAATTCTCTTCAAAGAAATTACATTGCGTGGCACATAAGTTGGACCTAAATGGCGATTTCACAGTAACATGGCAGTAGCACATTTTCGGGTGTCAATCGAGGTGCGGGAGTGAGACGCAGCACGTAACCAGCCAAAGTAACGCAGTATAGACCATGATTGTTTGTACCAGCCTGGAAAATAGCCAAATTGGTTCAAAATACATGCTCCACATTATACGCGGTCAAAACTTTGCTTGGTGGAAAAATTGTTGTCGTCCCTATGTCCATCGATTGTTTACTTTCAAGCTGAGGCAGTTAAATAGGTGCGGTGAAATAATAAAACACCACGGGAAAGCAGATGTAGCACGGATCTAACTCAAAAAGTGTCTGATTAGCCTGATACAAATACGAGAAAAACGGAAATATTTCGATATAAGCCTGGAATATTTTTTATCGAGTTTGTGAGCCAATTACAAGAGACTATATTTAAGAATCCATCTCAATTTAGCTACGGAAGTTATAAAAAAAAAAACATCAAGTCAAAAAACCTTCATTTCCTTCACGCAAAATTACTAACAAGACTTTTTTCACAAATTTTGGTTTTATTTATGAAAATTACTGTAAAATTACAAAGAAAATTACTGAATCCACTAAAAAATTTACAGGAAATAGTCATTTTTATTAAACTTTATTTTTTACTTTTTTAATAGTGTAGTAGTTTAATATGATAAAACTTTTATTTAAAGTATTTCTGAGTGGCTTTTAATTATATTTAGTAGAATATGTGTTTAACTCAAAAGTCTGCCGCATATAATTCGTGTTATATTTTTGCTTCATAAATTATAAGGCTTTTATAAGGGTATGCAATATTCCCATGGAAATTTTCATTGGATTCAAAACAAAACATACTTTACGCAATATAGTACTCATAATATCGATTGAAGTGGTATTTCAATGTTAATATTATTGATTTTTTACAAATATTTTTTAATATTTATTGTCCGTGTTTTTATAAAAATATAAGTTTTCAAATATAATATTAGGAAAGTTTATGCATTTCATGGAAGTAATATAAGTAACAGCGCGAAAATACGTAGAAGACATTTCATATGTATTTTGCTTATCATACAATTAAAGGAATTTTATTTTCTTTACTATATAATAATCCTAAAGCAAATGTCGGTGGATTAATTCATATATTAAAAAGTAAATATATGATACCCTCATAATAATAAAAAAACAGCTGTTATGTTTTAATGTTTGATCTCCATACTGAAAATTGGTATTTGTATCAGGCTAGATGGCAAGTACCTGTTACACACAATCATAGAAATAATAACATTTTATTTATTGGACACGTCATACCCGTACATTATTGCGTTTTAAAACAGCGTAAACTTTATTGGGGTAGCGTTACATTATTATACAGCGTGTTTGGTAATTAGTGACTTTCATCGGCGTACTTGTGAGTTTTCAGAATTTAGAAGGTCAACTTACGTTTTCGTTCTTTCGGGACTTTTGGTTTGTTTCTCATTCTCGTTCTGTTTACCTGTGTATTATGTTTGTGTGCGGTCAGTGCAATGAATTCGTACTCAAATGCCTAATATTACGAGATGATAATGTGTGGCGGTGCTTGTGACGGTAATCTTGCTGCGGCTCGGCGGCGTTATGACGAGCGCCACGTGTCAGGAAGATCTGAAAACCATCGACGTCTTCCTTCTTACCGGTGATTCGCGGCATTTGTGAATTGGTTACATACAACTGGTTCATTCCATAGTGTGCCACAGGTAGGCCGGCCGATCACCTATTCCATCGAGACAGAGGATATGAATTTACGTCGAGAGTAACACGACACGGTCTGTGTCGAGTCGAATGGAGATGTGTGTTTTATGCGGTGGCCGGCATATCGAGACCCTGGACTGATAAAGTGGAGGTGAAGTGTAGGTAATGTTGACAAGTGAAAGCTGAAAGAGTGATTAGAACGCTGTAGGAATGTACCTATTTAATCTTAAATTGTTTTAATTACAAGTAAACTCATACGTAGTCGAGTGCGCGCGTCGGCAACATCAAAATGTATTCAAGGAAACGAGAGAGTGAGAGGTAATGAGAGAGAGAGAGAGAAAGAGCGAGTGCGCCGGGACGGCACGTGTAAGCCTACAGGGTTGTAGCATAGTAATTGAAAACAAATTGTTCAAATATTTGTATGAAAATATCAATTTACATGAAATTGTTTTTTGACCTATCAATTGTGTTCTTTGTGCTAGGTTGTATGGCCATGTTTCGGGATTATACAGGTATTACCAAACACGCTGTACAAGCCATTTATGCATGTACATATTTACTTTAAATATTAACACAAATAAAATGCTTATAAAATAATGTATTTATGGTTATGTGAATCATACTCGTATTTATGACGCAGTATACTATATTTGTTATTTTCATTAAAAGATGGAGTTGAACATTTAGTGTAGGTAAGTAAAACTCAGGCAATTACCTTGCAATTTGGCTGTCAACGTTGTTCGCAGATAACCCATCTAAACTTTATATTCATCATTGCATAGAAAATGAAATGTATGATTGATTACCTACAGCACTATAACAAACCAAAACCCTAAATATTAGAGAAAAATACTATATAATAGTATTACGCTATTTATTTGTATTATGTATTTACATAGATAAAAAAAAGTGACGCAAAAGTCAGATTTGTTTAAAAATAGTTTCTCAAATGTTTACAATAATGACAAACAGTGAACAGCATCAAGTTGTGTATCAGCTACGTCATTAAAACGCTTACCTTAACGAAGGTTACAGGGTGTGTTTCGCTGTCTCATTACCAAGGCTTGAAACAGAAATTTTTATAACTTAAAGTCACACTACGTCACTCGTTTCTTCACTGCACGCGCTGTGCCATCGTGTTGCACTATGCGCGAGGAGGGTTACCTGAAAAGTTTGAGCTTTAACACCAGGCGACGCAAAGTAATACGACATGCATTCTTGTATTACCCAATGTTGTTTAAAGCATAACTTAATCCTACCAGTGATTCCACCGGAACTAAGTTTATTATTATTTAAATAAAATCTCTTTATCTCAATCTAGCTCAAGGGCATAAATTAAATTTACATTTGGCTGAGCTATCCCAGAAGGAACATTTTTAACCCCGCTATAAATATGTCCGGGTTACATATATGCACTTGAGAAATAGGCTCCAGCAGGAAGCAGGCAGTAAAAAAGATAACGATTGGAATATAGTAACCAGTCGTGCGTCTAGATTGCCTGTATTAAAATGGTGAATGCGAAATGAGATCATGCAACTCCTGAGTGCAGTTCCCTTAGATATAAAGATCCTATAAAAGATAGAAAAGCAGGCACATTACGTTGATGTACCAGGCTGTGCAGCTTAGACTCCACTCGCTTTACGTATTTAATGAGTCTCTTGGCTCTGCGTTCAGAAAATTAAACTTAACGTCTAAAACCTACCGTGTAAAATTGTGTGCCTACACGTCTTATGTACTTCGACTAAGATTTCAAATACCAACCTATCTACTAAATACCTAAAATTTGTTTGAAGTAACGAAGTATATAAACGTATATATACTGTGTATTCCAACACCAGAGGCACACTAGATAATTTATGCAGGAAACGCCGTGTAAAGCTTGAACTTGAATAATCCAAATGAAGTTTGAATGCCATTTCAATTTCAAGAATTGCATCCACGCATTGTGTATAGTCACAATCCACATTTAATGAAAGTGAAGGCGTAACAATTAAAATAAGTAAATATCGAGAAGCACGATGCTGTATTACATTTGATTACGCGAACTTGATCGTGCCCAAGGATAATTTCTGTACATTACACTCTTTGTGACACACAGACCGATCTGATACCGGATAACTAGGTAAGTACCGTGAGAAACTAAATCAACCTATCACTTTTATTGCGCCGTTATCGTGGAGAGATATTAAATTATTTTATAGTGGCACATTACTTGTGTAAACAAGAAAGTCTTAATATTAATCCATATTGTTGGAAAACTTGATGTTTTTGTTTCGATTACATTACAATTAAAAAGAACACACATATGACGTGCTTTTTTATATCCCAATCTATATTAATAACTTGAAATAGTAACTAATAATATCCCGATACATCTTAAAATACCCTACCCATAGATCCCAAAACCAAGAGGTCCTTATATGGGTTATTGGTGCTATTCAAAGTTATCTCCATTTCAAGTAAGTAAAAGTTAATATTAGCATTATAAAGATAAAAGGTAATTACGCGATTGTAATCAGCTAGCAGGTATTTATACATATGTGCGAATCAGTGGAAAGTTCAATTGAAAGTCCGACCCAGAAGTAGAAACATCTTTTAAGATGGAAAAACATTTTGAAGACGGCGTGGAATATCCTAAGAAAATGGATAACAACGATAAACTAGGCCACTTCAGACATAGATTTTATCTGACTAAAGGAGTCATCAACTTGTGTGGCAATTCATTAGGACTCGCTTCTAAAGACGCAGAAGAATCGGCAATGGTCATGATGGAGCATTGGAAAGAGTATGGTATACGGATATGGGGTCTCGAAGGCAGTAAATATTATCTGTATTCAGAGTACCTAGCAGGGCTAATGGCACCAATTGTCGGAGCTGAGAAAGACGAAATCGCCGTAATAGGGAATACCACAACAACAATCCACCAAGCGATAAGTACCTTGTACAAACCCACTAAAGAGAAGTACAAAATATTGGTGGACGATATAAATTTCCCAACAGACAGATACGCAGTAGACGGACAAGTAAGACTTAAAGGGTACGATCCTAAGGATGCAGTAAAAGTAGTGCCGGCTGTTGATGGCAAATTTTTTGATGAAGATATGTTCATAGAAGCGATGACTGACGATGTGGCTCTAATTTTGCTACCCGCCGTCTACTACAGAACCGCTCAAGTCGTCGACATGAAGAAAGTAACAGAAGCCGCAAAAAAGAGGAATATTATAATCGGATGGGACTTGTGCCACGCTGTAGGAGCTATAGAAATAGACCTTAATTCTCTAGACCCCGATTTTGCCGTATGGTGCACTTACAAATATTTGAACGGTGGCCCAGGTTCACCTGGAGCTATATACTGTAACAAAAGACATTTCAAGACACTGCCAGGATTAACCGGTTGGTTCGGCAGCAAGAACGAGACGCAGTTCCTACTGCGTCAAGAGTTCGATCACAAACAAGATGCCAGCGGCTGGCAAATCGGTACTCCAGGACTATTATCGATGGCTACAATAGAAGGGGCTTTAAAGATAATTTTGCAAGCGGGCATGGGAAACATGAGGAAGAAATCTTTGCATATAACTGCATACTTCATGTATCTGATTGAGAAAAAATTGTCCTCGTATGGATTCACGATAGGAAATCTAAGAGATGACAGTAAAAGGGGAGGACATATATGTTTGGAACACGACGAGGGGTATAGAATTAGTTTAGCTTTGATTGCCCGAGGTGTGATAGGGGACTTCAGGGACCCCAATGTGATAAGACTGACACCGACCGCCTTGTATACTAGCTACATGGAGGTCTACCAAACTATAGATATTCTTTTAGACATCGTAAAAACTGAAAGTTATAAGGAATTTCAAGTGAGACGAAACTTGGTAGTCTAATAGGTATGTAGAATTATGGCATCATCACTGTTACCGTGGCCCGTCTGATACGAAAATTTTTAAAATTCTTTCGCTTACGCTACGGGGTAACGTCGCAAAGTCAAATTAAAGTAACTTTTTATTAGTTAAGAGAGTGGTCTATTTGCGGCTTATAACGTTATATAATATTATTTATTGACCAAATTAAATCACGACTATACTCAACGAAACCTGACGTATGGAATGTCACGATTTCATTTTATTTGCTAATTTTAAAAGACTAATTCGTTTTTAAAAAGTAAATATGGGTTTTATTTTATATAGCTTAAGATTGAAACCACAAATGTTTTGGTTTTCATTGTATTTTTAAAATAAAAATAGGCTTAAACTATAAACAATAGTTGCAATGTGATTATTTCTAAATCCTTTTTATCTTTACATCTCACTATATGCCAAACTTATTTATATATGTTTGAAACTTAATCCGCGCTGCGTTTACACGCAAGTCTGGATCCACAAAAAATGTACTACACCCACATTCTATAGCGTAAACTTATTTATTTAAAAATAAGTGACTTAGAACGTGAGTCGCAATAGTTTACTGTACGCATATTTGCGCTTTCAATGCTTTTTCGCGTTTTCAACTATTCTTAAACCGCGTGCGCATAAACGCAGTATGTCCTAAGCCTTAGAACTAGCTATATCCAGTTTATATTATTATTAGATAATTTAAAAAAAAAATATTTTACTACTTTTATAATATAAATATAAAAAAACAAATCAAAAACGCATAAAAATATATCAAAGATTTGTTTATTTATTAAGTGAATATATTATACTCAAATAATTCTGTATCGTATAAATAATTAATAATAATCTAATAATTGTTTTATTGCACAAAACGACAAATTAATCGCAATAACTTAAGTTACACATTATAGTATAGCAGGATATATATATATTATATTTATATTTCACATGAATAGACTTGAATAAAAAAAAATAATATATTGATAAAAAAAAAACTGGACCTACAGATAGCCCTAGGTGTAATTGTATAGGTGAATTTAATAATCACACCACAACTTTACAATTACACAAGAGTAATAACATAATAATAACCAGTGCTGACCGATATTTATAAAAAAAATACACCGTTGGCATCATTTCTCGTACAACTTATTTATAAGAATGGAAATAAATGTCAAAGAAAACTAACTTTATTAAGACTTAAAATTTATTAAACTCTTTTAATTATTATAATTATTTTTAAATTATTTACAGTAATTTACATCACAACAGTAATGTTGTATTGTGGTCGTATAGACTACAACATTGTTATTTTTACATTTTTCAACATATTCTAATACGAGGAACTAATGAAATGTCTACAAAAATGTACCAAATAATGTCACTGTTCGAATTCATGATTGCAGAACACGCTTACTTAATTTTGTCCACGAAATATATTTGTCTATTTTTGCTAAATTTCAATATATGCTTACAAATTACTAAAATGCAATCGTGAACAGCCGAGTTGGCACATTTCCTAGAAATGTGAACTGGACCTAAATCACTAGAGCTAGATGAATCTTATTACAAGCCGAACCACGAGTGATAAGCGCTACAGAAAAGGGAGGGGATAGTGGCGCAGTCAGAAACGAACGTACCTATCTCGCATGGAATTTTATGTAACAATCGATCAGCTGTTTATCAGAATGTCCATACTTTTCCAAACTTTTTGCCAAATAGGATTAAAAATGTTACTTCTGCGCATACAAAGCACTCCCCACTCGTGGCACGACCCGCGCCGATACCTGACGCTATCGACAAAGTCACCGAATACAGTTCTATTTTAAATTAAATCTGATTTCGCAGTCGCCGTGTTCTCAGAACGCTTTTTTGATGCTTGTGTTCAAGCAATAAGACACTTACGACCGGTTCCTGAACTGAGAAAAGTATAAATCTCAATAACTTGATTTTTTTTACTTTTGACAGTGAAAAAAGTCGTAGTTTTTATAAAACTACTATCAACTGATCATTAAAAAACTAAAATCAGAAACGAAAACTTGCTTTAGTGCAGTTGGAGACGTGATAAACTGAGTATTTAAACTCAATTCAGAAACCAGGTTTTATCTTCCTACTAATAACCAATATATAACACTTGTTTAGTTACAAACAGCTTGATTCATGTCTTTCTAATGTAACTTTTAGTTCAAGTGAAAAAGACAAAGCACTGCAATACTTTTTGCTTACACATTGCTTATTAGTAAGGCATTTAAAATATAATGATTCTACTAATTGATGGACTAAATACATGTTTTTATGATCTCTAGCACTAGCGACAGCCACAAACGATCTCCAAGTCGAGTCGGTCACTAAAGTCAAATACTCAAGCTACTACGGTTTATTGTAAGAGATTTCGTAATACAAATAATTCAATTTCAAATTGTGAGAAAAAAAATACAATAAAGCTCAGTTCACAAAATCTCGATAATCGTCCAAATGGTAGTTTATTTAAAAATAATATTCCCAATCAGAATATGTGTATCAAAAATACCATCTGTATTTTATTTATAAGCAAATGGAGATCAATTTATCTACCAACACCGATAGGGGACGGCTAATCCCACGCCAACGTATCGAAGGAGTCAATACGTAATCAGTCCTGATCGTCTACTTGATCATTCAAGATCACAGAGATCATTGATTTTGAAGATACGATCGCAACTAATTTACTAATAAATTGTGTTACTTTTTTTTTGTCTTGCCGGTGATTTTTTACGTAAGTAGTGAAAAAATACATCTTTCTTTCTCTAATATGTTAATCTCTATAATATATATTAGAAAAAAAGCAATATAGAGTATGAGTTGAGTATTAGCAAGTAGAATATTCTTCGTACAGATTGATATTTTTCCTGTGGGTACGAAAGATCAGTGGAAGTACAAAACTGCAGTATTTTTATTGTAGATCAACTACCGTTACTGATACTTTACATTTCTTACTATTCATCGGTCAATAAATTATCGTAAACATCCAGATGAACTCCAATAGCTTATAATTTAATTTTTCTATCTAAGAAAAACTCATTATCGTTTGTTTTAAGCGTTATTATTTTCGTTCTCTGTCTGTTGTATGGTGTTAGATAAAGTCTAATCCAGTATAGATCGTTGGATGGCGGATGGCGGCCGCGGCGATGTACACTCCAAACCTCTGAAACGGAAGCTCTTATTTAATGCATTTCTGTACACTTTTTGATGAGGACATAAAATCTCTTACGAGATAATAAAATCGGAGACAAAAGGTGGAACGACAAAAATAAAATAAAAAAAAAACAAAAAAAGCACTATATACCGTCAATATACCTACTTATACTGAATGAGATGGAGACTTTGTATCAACAAATAACTAACGAATTAAAATATTCTTAGTGAGGAATGCAATCTCAGGGTGCCAGGGACCAAGTGGATTATTTTTAAGCATTTTTCATTAGGTATATTTTTGAGTATAGCATTGTGAATACAAAATTGATTAAATATTGATTAATAACTAATTAGAAGATAAGAAAAAAATGTGAATTCCTAACTACTATTAGGATCACACTAATTCAGTTAATAGTTTTTTAATACTACAATGAAAAAATGAAAAAAATACAGAATATGAAAATAGCACCGGCGGGTGCATAAGTATATTCAAATACACTTATGCACCCGCCGAATAAAAGGTCACAAGTTACTAACGTCTCGTCACATATTCAAACCGTTCTGGGATCGTGGACAGAATGAGGCGCTCACGGTGGCGTCCTGTAAATCGAGAGCGTTTAATTAATCTACTATCACCCCGCTACTGTATGCAGTACTGCAGCTGCACGACGCGTGCCGGGGGCCAGTACCCGGCGTGTGATGTCAGCGTCATCAAGAGGAGAGGCGCGCGGTGGTGGGCGGGGCCCGCGTGTACGTACAGTTGTTGAGGCGCACCGAGGGCCAGTCGTCGAGGTGGGCGGGGGCGGGGGCGGGGTCGGCCTGGCGGCGCGCGGTGGTGGGCGGGGCCCGCGTGTACGTACAGTTGTTGAGGCGCACCGAGGGCCAGTCGTCGAGGTGGGCGGGGGCGGGGGCGGGGTCGGCCTGGCGGCGCGCGGTGGTGGGCGGGGCCCGCGTGTACGTACAGTTGTTGAGGCGCACCGAGGGCCAGTCGTCGAGGTGGGCGGGGGCGGGGGCGGGGTCGGCCTGGCGGCGCGCGGTGGTGGGCGGGGCCCGCGTGTACGTACAGTTGGTGAGGCGCACCGAGGGCCAGTCGTCGAGGTGGGCGGGGGCGGGGGCGGGGTCGGCCTGGCGGCGCGCGGTGGTGGGCGGGGCCCGCGTGTACGTACAGTTGGTGAGGCGCACCGAGGGCCAGTCGTCGAGGTGGGCGGGGGCGGGGGCGGGGTCGGCCTGGCGGCGCGCGGTGGTGGGCGGGGCCCGCGTGTACGTACAGTTGGTGAGGCGCACCGAGGGCCAGTCGTCGAGGTGGGCGGGGGCGGGGGCGGGGTCGGCCTGGCGGCGCGCGGTGGTGGGCGGGTCCCCGCGCGTGACGCAGCCGTCGTGGATGTGCACCGACGTGATGTCCGACCCCGGGATCTCGAACATCACCTCCAGCAGCAGGTTCTCCTACGAATTCGTCAACACCACGATAATCAAGTGGAAACCGAAAGAAACTATTTCAAACGAGAGAGTTGGATTCGATTTTCCGACGCCTGAGATATCATTGAAAAGAATTATTTTATATACAACTTTTTATGACTATATATCGTAAAATAATTGTCAATTCTACCATCTAAATAAAAATTTAAAATAAGACTCTACTGTAATAATGTAGTGTAATGTAGCACGGTATAGTTACGTAGTATTGTGTAGTGTAGCGCGGCGCGGTATAGTTGTGTAGTGTAGTGTAGCGTGGCACGGTATAGTTATGTAGTGTAGTGTAGTGTAGCGTGGCGCGGTATAGTTAATAGTGTAGTGTTGTGGAGTGTAGTGTAGCGTAGCGCGGTATAGTTATGTAGTGTAGTGTTGTGTAGTGTAGTGGAGTGTAGTATAGCGTGGCACGGTATAGTTGTGTAGTGTAGTGTAGTGTAGCGTGACACGGTATAATTATGTAGTGGAGTATAGTATAGCGTGGCGCGGTATAGTTATGTAGTGTTGTGTTGTGTAGTGTAGCGTGGCGCGGTATAGTTATGTAGTGTTGTGTAGTGTAGCGTGGCGCGGTATAGTTATGTAGTGTAGTGTAGTGTAGCGTGGCGCAGTATAGTTATGTAGTGTAGTGTAGCGTGGCGCGGTATAGTTACCATGATGGCGCGCAGGCCGCGGGCGCCGGTCTTGCGCTCCATCGCGAGCGCGGCGACGGCGCGCAACGCCTCGTCGCTGAACGACAGCGAGCACTTGTCCATCGCAAACAGCAACTTGTACTGCGCCACCTGCCGGCCGCAACCGTCACATGTACACGCAATAACGCTTCGAATTATAAACCGTCCATTTATCCTACAAAAACTTACTTAAAACTACGATCGACCCTTTTGCGGGTGTCCCAGATGTGATCCGAGCCTCTAATACCGTTAAGAGTATAGGTATCGAAGTCTTAAAGACTTACAAAGTTTCAGACACATTTTTTCCAATAAACATTTATTTTTGATTTCATCGTATAAAACACGTAAACGATGTTCGGTTAGGTTTGATTAACGACATTAACGACATTTTTTTCAAGTTTTGATCTCAGTGCCCAAATCGCACCCTCCAACCGAACCTTCGCGATTTCAGCAATCTCTCTATCTAACCTGAATTCAAGGCGAATTCAACTTTCCTTTTTGAATTTTCAAGTAATGTTCCTACACAGAACGACGAATAAACCGGGACATTCCCTACCTTGGCACTCTGATTCAATTTTCTCAAAAACCATACAACTTACAAAAAACCAAGTTGTACCCACGGAAAGTCTTAATTCGATCACGGTCTGCGTTCTTTTTTTTTACAATTATATTTCTTATAATTGTCAAGCTTTCAATCTTTGCCTTGCTGAGGCGAAAGCCACTCGAGCTGTAAAACTTTTTCAAGGAGACATTGCACTACGTGAAGTCACTCTTCTTGGCTTCGAATTCAGCAAATCTTCATTTCAACGTGTTTACAGAAGATACCAAGAGACTGAAGCGTTAGATGGTACTAGGAGTACTAGGAGGTCATCTCATTGTTGTGCGAAATAACGCAGTTAGCGTACAACAAAGTCTGCATGATGAACGCCAAGTGATCATAAATTCAGAGGAAGGAGACTTGCAGAATGGAATCTGGTTCCAAAGGGAGACATAATAAGCCCAGCATTAACAACCATCGAGCACGACTTAAATTTGCGAGAAAGCATAAGGATCGGCTGTCAGTAGAGCAGTGAAATAATATACTTTTCACTAATGAGGTTAATCTACACAGGAGTGATTGACATTAGAGAGTATATTGTTGCCCTGAAGAACATTATCTTTAGTGTTGCATCGAGGGAACTGTAATGGTCTGGGGGTGCATGTTTTTCAACGCACATAAGGCGATAGTTTTCTTCGGACCGACGAGCGTTACAAATGAAATGACTTTTCATCGTATAAGTCTCGTCAATTGCTAATGCGCTGGAACCTAGTCTAAATAACACCTGCGTGACGTCAGTTATTACACACTGTCATACAGTAAATATATGACACCCTTATTTTATGACATCTGTTGTACCTGCACCATATTTTGTGCCATAAATGGTTGATTTATTGATATAAAAAGTAACAACGAAACTTAACAATAACAATTAAAGACAACAAAAGTTATGTGTGATCCCAACTCAATAAGTATAGTCTTACACCAGTGTTTATTTGTTAACGGTACTGATTGTTGAACGCAATTACGTCATTAAAATGGCGACTAGGCGCATTGGCAATTTGCGGGAATTATAACGTGGTGTCTTACGCAGGATACATCGGGCAGGATAGACAATAAAAGCATGATAATGGTGACCTAATGTCTACTATTCTTACTCTGGACTAGCCATCTGAAATATAAATCCGATAGAACACTCATTCGTTTGTTGAAACGTCGAACTATGGATCGCAACTCTAAAGGAATAAGTAAAGGAAAGCTATTCCTTGAGATTTCACTGTCAAATTCATGAGGTCGTAAACGTAAGATTGTTGCTGGCAGTTATCCGAGCAAGGGAAAGAATACTGACCAAGAGCTTTTTATTTTTTTCCATTTTTTGGATTGAATTTCTTTTTAACAGACTTCTTTCATTTTATGATTGATTACTAACAATCAACGCGACTAGAATAGGACTCTTTTTAAGATACTTTTAAGATACTTTTAAAATAGTTAATATCAATAAATGTGTGTGAATGTCATCATGAAATGCACTTTCTAATGCTCTATTGATTTCCCTATAAGTTCCCCACTAAAGGAACATCTGGTGTGCTTTCGGGGGTCTGCTGTTCTGTGCATAGACAACATTACGTCAGCAACCTCACCGCAAGCCACTTACACGCTATGTCGACATTATTAAGAAAACTGGTTTTGTTTTTTCTTTACAATACTTGAAAAATATACTGAGACGCATAAATTAATATACATTTATAAAATATAATTCCCGCAAAATATACGCATCATCACACGGAATATTAATTGAGGACAGTGCGTTTTATCGGGTGTACTCTAGGGAGAATCTTCTTACTAATATATAGTTTTTCTTAAGCTTTTCTTTAAAATCATAAATAACCACACACTTCCCACTTAAGATCCCTCGTGAGACCACATTTTCCCTATATACTTATTCAAGTCTATCTCGATTTATATTTTTATTGTTTGGTAACCCCCCCAATCATTAAGGTTTAATGACGACTTTAAGCTCTTATGAATCTCAAATATCTATGGGTAATGTCGCTTTAGACTAATGATAATTTTAATGGACGTGTGCACACACGTCCAGTTGCACAACTGGCTGTAGATGAGCTGACACGGCAGTGTGAAAACTTTAAGTAACAGTTCCGTTATTTAACCACCAGTTTTCGCCACAGTTCTGGTCACTTTTGCATTTTTTAACTAATTGCAATAGTTACAATCAGTCAAAGAATTCATTATCATTAGTCCATGGAATGAAATGAGGAGAACGGGGTTTTTTTGAATCATCCATTAATCCGGAAGTGGACTGTAGATGAAATAGAACATACGTGATGTGTAATCACAAAGTTTTTTTGATACTGAATTTCTCAATTTAACAACGAAGTAGTTCTTCATTGTAAAAAAACCGCCCGAAGGAAAAATTTTGTCAGGATTGAATCTTGATAAAATTAGCGTTAAAAGATCTATTTTCGATTAAGTTGTGTGATCTAACATGTCCAAGAGAACACTACCTATTAGAGATAATTTAACGCAAACACATCTTCGATCAACAATACAACTAGATATCGCATCATGCAAACTAAAACAACACTCAAATATGGCACCATTTTTAAATATTAAGGACTAAAATAGATTAATACCATAAATAATCTTTCGAACGAATATAGTTTTGTCCACTCAGTATTTTATTCGTCCAATTTATTATTTAACTCTAATACGGAGGCGGGATGATAAATAGCTAGCCCAACCTATATTTTGTATAATAATGACATAAAATCTCCTTAGTATTTTACTCATTGGTTCATTAGCTGCCAGTGTTCCAAATTTCAAATCGGTCGTATAGTTTTTCTTTGAAATATTGACATTTCAAAAAGTATACTTTTGTTTTTTCTGCAAAATGGATAAATTTAAGCTACGAGCTGTGATAAAGTTTTTGCATTTAAAAGGATTAAAAGATGGAGAGATTTTTTCGGAGCTGAAGGATGTTTTGGGAGAAAATGCTCCTTCATATGCGACCATAAAAATTGGGTGGCTGAATATAAACGTGGCCGTACCAGCAACCAAGATGAACATCGTCCAGGACGTCCAAAAAGTGCCACTATTCCAGAAATTGTGATCAAAATTCATGATGCAGTTTTAGCTGACCGAAGATTGAAACTTTCCGAGATAGCCGATACTGTAGGCATCTCTAAAGAACGAGCGCATTACATTTTGACTCAAGAATTATGTATGAAAAAATTATACGCAAGGTGAGTGCCGCGATTGCTTACAGTTGACCAAAAACGCGTTCCACAAGAATGTTTGGACCGCTTTAAGAGCAATACAACTGATTTTCTGCGACGGTTTGTTACTACAGACGAGACTTGGGTTCACCACTATATACCTGAATCAAAAATTCAGTCTAAACAATGGACGGAAAAAGGTTCCCCGGCTCCAAAGAAAGCAAAAACCGTGAAATCAGCGGGGAAAGTCAAGGCGTCAGTATTTTGGAATTCGAAGGGTATATTGATGATTGATTACCTTTCAAAAGGTCAAAACATAAATGGCGAATATTATGCTGATCTACTGAATAAATTACAAGTGTCTATTCGTAAAAAAAAACCCGGCCTGGCTAAAAAAAATAATCTTTCATCGGGATAATGCGCGCGTTCACACGTGCATCACTGCGATGGCGAAATTCAAAGAATTAAATTATTATTTGCTAGCACACCCAGCTTATTCTCCTGATCTGGCACCATCTGACTTTCATCTATTCCCTAAGCGCAATTTTTTTTAGATGGATAAAGATTTGAAAATAATAGCGAGGTGATGTCTGCCGTGGACAGTTATTGTGAAGGGTTTGAAGAAAATCACTTCAAGGATGGCATCAAGACTTTAGAGCATAGAGCATATTCAAGGAGACTATGTCGAAAAATAAATATACTTTTAACACACTAATTCAAGTTTTTCTATGCTAGACTAGCTATTTATCATCTCGCCCTCGTACTATGAATTTTAGTTACTATTTTAGATAAAACTGTTTCCTACTATTAGTAGAATATTAGATGAAATAATAAATAACATTAAATTTTATGAATATTAGTTCATATGTTTATTTATGTTAAAAATTTGATGTAAGTGTACAATATTTTTTCAAATCAGAAAGGAGCAGGATCAAAACGAGCGAACGAACTGCTTTAAAATAATTCAATATTGGACAGATGGTTCGTTCCTTTTAGAACTACTGCTTCAAAGAGTTACGAATCTAAATGAACTACAAGAGCGAATTTGTTCGTGGAGGAGACTCGAACTAACTCATTGGATTTGGTAATTTTTGCGCCTAAGATTATTGGTGCAGACGCTAGCAAACTAAATTAAAATAAGAATCTATTTTGAAGGGAGGTATTTTTTCTTCGACCGTTTTTCAGACTAACCGGGCGTTTAGTCGTATTGTTGATCGAAGAGATACACATAAAAATTATTACTTTTTGTATATCAAATTCGGATTGATATCAATCGATTATTTATATATATAGATAAATGTGCGATGTTTTTGCTTCAAATTGAAACGTTAGTGATAAACTGCCGGATTACGTCTATGTTTCAAGTTTTATTACATTCTGAAATGTGACGGTGCAACGTTCGAGCCCTCCAGTCTTACAACAAAGTCAAAAGAAAGGCGAACCGGACTCACCATCGCGTTCTTAGGTTCCGTGAGTATCCGCACAAGGAGATCCTGGTTGAGACTGTGGAAGGGCACCAGCACCGGGAAGCGGCCCACGAACTCCTGCGGGCGAACAACGAGATGTACAGACACGTGTACGCGTACAGGCGGGGAGGTGGGGGCGGGGTCGAGGCGGGCACGTGCACGTACTAGTGATGCGATTCGAGCCTTGTTTTCACTTGAGTAACTCGAGTGAAATTGTCAAACTCGTACTCGATTGAAAAAAAATATTACTCGAGTCCGTATGCACTCGATTGCCGCCATGCCACAAGCTAGATGTCACTTTACTACTACTTATTAGGATATAATTGTTAAAACTAATTATAAAAAGAAAACTAAATTACTCGTAATTAAAATTGTATACAATGTGATCGTTACTATCAATAATTCATTCATGGAAATTTCATTGTTGTTACTTCTTAGGAGGACATTCTTTCAGTTTGTCGATAACTCAAATAAATAATATGTAAAAACTGTTACAACGTGTATTTCATTTCAATTACTACTCCATCCGGGACGATGAGTCAATCGATATAGGTAGTCGTTTAAATGTTTCTAAAAGAGATCTCGCTCAACTGCAAACTTCGAGTCGAGAGAGACTTTTCACTCGAGTGACTCGAACACTCGAGTGTGATTCGAGTGAGATAGTCACAGAATCCTGTTCGAGCGGCACCCCTAGCGCGCACCGGTATCATGCCGAAGTCGATGAGGTCGCGCGCCTGCACGCGGCGCAGCCAGTGGTCGCGCTCATCGGCCTCCTGCTGCGCGGAGTGCAGCGGGCTGGCGTCCTCCGCGGCGCGCGCGGTGGCGGCGCGGCGGCCCGCACTCGCGTCCCACGCGCCGAAGCCCAGGTACTTCTCGTTGCTGCGCCGCTGCACCAGTCTGCGCGGGGCAAACGGTGGCTTTCAATAGATGAGACAATTCTAACCTCCTACTTTAACGCTTACATGCACACCGATCACCTATGAACGACTTTGTTTATTAACATTGAACACCGACATTTCAACATGAACCTAGTATTACCTAACACTGAGCTGTATGGTTTTCCATGAACTAAAGCAAACGATTTCAATAATCGAGCTCCCGACAACCGTGCGTAGTTTGCTAGACGCCTACCGATGATTGTGAAACGCAAAAACTAACGATTATCGGGAGCCGGTCCCGACGATCGTCGATAGATAATTTAAACCGAAAGTGAAAGGACGATGCTCAAAAACATACCGAGCCCAACCGAAACAAAATCTTACTCATAAGTATAAACGAGTAAGTAGACACTGCATTGAGGACACCATTAAAATCGATAGCTAAATGTATGATATTACTATTCGAATTTTAAATAGGTTAAAAAAAGTTTCTTCGCATTTCAAAACATTTTTTTAATAAAACTTATTTACGTTTAACTAAAATATATAGGTGCCATTTTGTTCGATAACTTTTTGACTAGGGACATGATCCCATCGCTGTAGACATTTTGGGGCTTCTAATCAAAAAACCGCGACGAGTGGTTTTACCAGACCTGTCGAGGCCGTTGTAGGCGCCGCTGGCCACGAACAGTATGTTGGTGGTGTCGACCTGCACGGCGTCTCCGCGCAATTTCCGCGAGTTCCGCTCCGGCACCGACACTACGGCGCCCTCCAGCATCTTTAACATGCCCTGCTGCACTCCTTCGCCTGAATTTAGATCAAAAATATATATTTTTTAACAGCGTTTTAACATTTGAATGTAAAAAGAGGATTATTTTATCAGATACATTTTGCATTCCCATCGCTATTAGTGATAATAGTAGCAATAGTAGACGTCACAGATGTATATAATTTTATCCTAGACTAAATGAAAATAAAAAAATTGACTCACCACCGACGTCTCTGAGTTGATGTATTCCCGGTACTGCACCGATTTTGTCCACTTCGTCCAAGAACACTATACCTGTTTGAGCTCGCTCGACACTAGAACAATATGGAAATATCAAAAACTACTTTTCTAAAAAAAAAATTATTATATAATCATATAATATCGTAACTACATTCTTAAAATTTTGTTAACCAGGTCAGAAAAAGACTGATGCCGTTACTGCCTTTAAAACCCCACAAAAAGTAGATAAAATACGTCAACTTGAAAGTCTTTCGAAAGATTTGTTTCTAAGTTTGCTACACTGGCTAGGCCGCTAACTAATTTGACTAAATCAAATATAAAATGGGTCTGGGACGAAGACCAAATGAAAGCATTTACAAATTTAAAAAAGATATTAACTAGCCGTCCAGTTTTGGCAATATACAATCCTGCCTACGAGACAGAACTTCACACACATGCAAGTTCATTAGATTTAGAATTTTGTTGCAATATCCTGACCAAAAATCGCCCTTAAAACCTGTAGCCTATTTTAGTAGGCATTCGTCAGCAGAATAACATTTCCACTCGTATGAACTAGAAACCCTTGTGGCAGTTGCTTCCTTGAATAGGTTCAGAGTATACCTGATTGTCGTTACATTCAAGGTAGTAACTGATTGTAACACCCTTCTCACCACACTGACTAAAATAGATTTAATCACAAGGATAGCTCGTTGGTGACTGTTGGTCATGACACAAGAGTACACATTTACAATTGAGTACCGGTTGGGTTCTCAATTACTTCATGCAGATGCGTTTAGGCGCAACTTTATCAGGAGATACATCAGTTGACTTTGTTTCTAATAATATGATTATTCAAGTAGCAGATATACTGGCTCCAAGCTGTTCAAATGAGTAACCCTAGACTTTGTGACATTAAAAGCCGTTTTCACATATTTTGCTATATTTTAAAAACAATATTTCTCGCTTGATATATCAATGGCTTTTGGGCATTTTTCTTGTTTCTTTTGTTTTTGTTTGCCATCAGATTCTGATACACCTATAATACTTACATAAATTATTGACATTATTGACGCTTTCTCAAATTTCATTACTTTGCGTATTTTTTTTTTTTTCGTTTATTGATAGGACCACAAACAAGTTTACAATTCATCTTAATTAGCTTATTTACTAACATTAATTACTTATTGTAAACTCAACAACGATGGCCTCGTTTTACATATCAACTTTATTAGAAATGTGAAACCCATAAAGCTAGACATTATATTAAATAACGATATAGTTTGTAGTAATATTGTTAATGATATTTTAATAATACGATATAATAAGATTTTTAGTTATAATGTTGTCTGTGTGTATATATAGTAAATGAATTTTCTTTTTATCTTGTTATGTTTATAACCTATTTCCTATAAGTATTAAAGCTATACCTGTAATGGTATTGTTAGTTATATATAAAAAAAGTAATATAAAAAAGATGAATGTAAAATTTCATAAGGTCCTTCTCGCATAGGTAGTCCACAGCACAGATCCATACTACAAGTATGGCTACCGTACTGTTTAGCTATAGTATAGTTTATGTGTATCTGTGGTTATGGTTAGTTTAATAACAACATCACTTGCGTGTACATGTTTGTGTGTACTAACTAGATCAAGTACTTAAAAACCAATACATAAAGTAATAAAAAAAAGTTGTCTTTCATGGTTAACAGCACACCAGGTTATCAACAATCGCCAAAATGTTAAGATTTGATCAAGCTAATGTTTGATATTAAGTGATTACCCAATGGGCTGCACCGCACATATTTTTGATCATAACATATCCGTGGGTGTTTGATATAACTTATTTGAAAGCAATTCTACTATCTGTTTCTTGTACCTACCTGAGTTATTGCTAAAAATATCTACTGTATGAAATTGTTTGTTGTATGTAACGACCATACGATGCAAAGGAGATCGAGTGCCAGCATTAGTACGAGTACGAGTAACAGCAAACAACGGTTTAGGACGCAGAGATCGCAAATGTGCACGTGATGGGACTGAATAACCAATACGGTTGATGATATCCACACAATCATACTTATTATTAAAAAAGTCATACAACAACATAGCATCAAGTTGAGAGCGTCTTGATTTTAGGTCTAGTAGTCTATATTCTCTTAAAAGGTGCATATATGAAAGACGTTTGCGATGGCACCTAAAGTTAACACGTCGCAGAAACTTTTTTTGAACCATTTCAATGTTGTGACTGTATTTTTCATATAACGGCTTCCATATCGAGACTCCATATTCTAATTGAGACCTGACTAAAGATGAATAAAGTGTTATATATGTACTTGGATTTTTAAATTCATTAGATGATCTCATAACGAGCCTATACATTTTGAAAGCTTTGCTGATTATGTTTTGTATGTGAATGTCCAAATCTAGTTTATAATCAAGGGTGATTCCAAGATCCCTAATATTATTGACTCTGAGAATATCGGTTCCACCAAGGGTATATTTAAAATGGCTTCTCTTCTTTTTTTTTGTGAAAGTTAAAATTTTACATTTATTAAGGCTGAGTTGTTTAGTAAACAGTAAGTGTTAAACCTGTCAATGTCTTCTTGTAGAAACCGATGATCCTCAAATTTGTCAATATAACGATAAATTTTGAGATCATCTGCATATAGCAGAAATTTACTATGTTTAAAGCACCCATCAACATCATTAATGAACATAATAAACAAAAGAGGACCCAAAATGGAACCCTGTGGTACACCAGAAGTTACATTTGCGATCTCCGACTCAGAACCCTTCACCACAACTCTCTGCGTTCTGTTTAAGACATACGATTTGAGCCACCTCCAGAGATTTCCACGTATACCATTGTATGCTATTTTTTGCAAAAGTATTCTGTGATCAACCACATCGAATGCCTTCCGGAAGTCGGTATATATGCTGTCAACTTGCCTATTATCATCAATAGCATGAAACAGCTCAGTAGTATAGATGACTATGTTTGTTATTGTGGAACGTCGCTTCACAAACCCATGTTGTTCCTTCAAGATAACGTTATGCAATAGTGGATAAATCGAGTTGTGTACCAGTCGTTCGAATACCTTAGCAATAACGGGCAGAATCGATATTGGGCGATAATTTGTGACGTCATTTTTTGGGCCATCTTTATATATTGGAACTATTCTGGCACTTTTCCAAACTTTGGGAAATACTCCATCAGATAAGCACATGTTAAATATATAACATAGAGGGAAATCAATCACAGTTGCAGTTTCCTTAAAGAATATAGCCGGAATGTTATCAGTACCTGCCCCTTTAGAAGTATCTAATCGTTGCAATGCTTTACGAACTTCTGATACAGTAAATACGACATCACAAATTTCAAGGTCATGGGCGCTTTGAGATGGCAAATGAATGTCATCAATGCTAAAGTCTTCTGACAAGGATGACGGTTGGAATACAGAGTGAAAAAACCTATTAAATAGTTCACAACACGACGCAGGACCATGAGCAACAGAATCTTCATAATATACATTGCTAGGTATAGCAGAATTTTTCCTTCGTTGTGATATATACTTCCAAAAAAAATACTTAGCATTGTCTTTTATACTGTGTTCGACCCTCATTATATATTTCTTGTAACATTTTTCTAACAAATTATTACATTTTTTTCTATATATAGAAAAAATATGATAGTTGGACTCAACTTTATATTTTTTCCAATTTATCCAAGCCTTGTTTTTTTTATTAATCAGTTTAATTAGCGGAGGTGTGAACCAAATAGGATATGAAGAAGATGTTATAGTTTTTTTCGGTACATTGTGTTCAATAATACTGTAAATTATTTCATAAAATATGGAAACCAATTGTTCGGGCTTTTTATTTAAAAATAATTCCGACCAGTTAATATTAGACAGTTCTTGTTTAATTTTATCATAATCTGCCTTCCTAAAACAATACCCAATGTATGGTTTAAGACGTATATAATTATTATTTTCTTTAAGGGGAAACAATAAGCAAAACGGTGGATGATGGTCATCTGGAGGTAGTAATGAATTATTAATTGGTTAAATTTCACAATCAAATTTATTTGTAAAACAAAAGTCCAATATACGATTATTTTTGTTTCTTAAAGTGTTTAATTGATAGCAATTCAACGACTCCTTAAAATTATTTACACGAATATGTGATTCGTTGAAATCACAGATGCGAGGACGTTGTTTATAAGGGTCATTATTTATCCAAATCAAATCAGGCAGGTTAAAATCACCTATAATGAAAAAATCAACTATATTTTCGTCAAGGAATTTGTTTTGTAACATATCTAAATATTGAAGATACACCTCCTTACATTGTTTTGGCGGAATATAAACTGCACATACATAAAAACGCCGTTTTCCAATTTCAATCTCAATAATTAACTGATCGATTATAGACGGAATAGGGATAGTCGCAGCGATGACGTGTGCGCACTTGTTATCAAGTTGTGTTCGCAAGATTGCAGTCAGTACACCACCACCATCACGGCGAGCGGATGCACTGCGATCCCTATCCGAACGGAACACAATATACCTAGCGTCTATGTATTCACTATCAAGGATATCTGAGTGTAGCCATGTTTCAGTCAGTATTATGATATCGTATGCCTGCGTGAGAATGTTCATAAATAGTGTGTGTAGTTTAGTTCTGAGACCTCTACAGTTTTGATAATATATAGAAATTGTCTTAGCCATTTTTTTTAGTAATAATAAATGGAATTAGTACAAGATAGTTTAAATAGATAAGTGAATAAAAGTTATAAATAATCTTATTATAAGTAATTATATGGTCAAACCAAAACCACCTTGATAAGGTATATATATTGTTCGAATTAAGTATTAAAAACAAAAAGAACTTAGGGTTATATTTTATATTTCTCGTTTCACATACACCTGCATTTAACCATTTAAACTTTAGTAAACATGCACAACAATTATACTCATTCAAAGATCCCAAGATTATAAAATTTTTTTCTATACACTTATTGACAACATAACACAAACAGATAACATAACAATCGACAACAAAAGTATGTTTATTTTATTATTATTATTATTATTATTATTATATTTCGCACAGCAAAAACTGGTGACGATTCAGTTTGACGCATCAATACAGCACCGTGTTTGATCCAAACAAATTTGAAGTTGTGTTTTTTGGCTTGTTCACGACACATACGAAATAATTGCTTGTTTTTGGCTGTAAGGTGTTCATTTATATATATGTTTTGAACAGTGCCAGATACAGATAATTGGTCAGATTTTAGACCTTTATTTACTCGCGCAGCTGCGATATAACTATCACGTAATAATTTCGTTGTAAACTTTACAATTATGTTTTTCGGGCGAGAGTTATTTTTATCAAAATGTGGCACTCTGTGAGCGGATACGACGTCTGATTTGTTGATGGGGTGCTTGATGATACAACCAATTCTCTCAACAATAGTTAATAGATTTTCATCACGCCGTTCCGGCAGATTAGCAATCTCGATATTATACAGTCTTGCTTGTTGCTCCATTGAATCAATCCTATCTTGAAGTATTGTAATTTGATTGCATACATCCCCGTTCGAACGTATTGTCAAAAAAACATAGAGTAAAACGTCTATCGCGGTTCTTCGGGACATATTTGCATTATTTGGCACCCCAAAACATTTGATATCAGAACTTGAAACAAGTTTCACATCAAACGAATTTAAAGATCAAATTAATTTAGTTGGAACTAAACACACATTGAAGAACGCTGTCGCCACACCATGCGCTAACGGGCAAATCGAGCACTACAATCGAACTTTTTTCGAGTCCCTTATAGCACTCTATCATGGTGATGATGATAAAGACTGGGATTTACAGGTAACGCACAATGGCCTTAATAATACCGTAATCCGGAGCACCGGCAAGACACCTACTGAGATTATTTTTGGTAAAAATACTGTAAATACAGTCGAAGATCATCTTCACGAAATTGATCAAGCTAAAAGTATTCCAGACGAGACGTTAACACGGTTTCGAAACGAAGCTAGCGCAGAGATTATGGCAAAATAACAAGAAATGAAGCGCAGCGCTATGATAAAAAAGATGTAATGCTTAAATATATAAAGTCTATGATTTGGTTGTCACTGAAAAATGCCAGAACTCCCGGTAAGAGCATATAGCAGCCCTTTTAAAGTGACTGCGGTTTTTGATCATGATCGCTATTAGATCTGTAGTGTTGAAGACTACTCTAAAAAGAAACAAGTGTTTTTTTCTATAGATAAACTTAAACCGTGGGTGCGATTTAGAGACTCTCAATCTGAAAGTGATTATAGTGAAACAAAGTTGACTTGATATAAGACTCAAGTTGCTATTATTGTTATAAATAGAATGTACGAAAGTTCGTCGTTGTCTTGTGTGGTTACAATTGTATTTTTCATTATATCATGTGGAACGGCTCTTACTTGGTGTTAAAAAAAGAAGATCGTCTGTGGATCTATACTTAATAAATGTAAAAAAAAATGTTTTTGAGGCTGTTAAAGGTCGTGAGAAAAAGTTTTTAAAATACTGAACTACGTGTGTACTTGTCTGTACAATAAACTTTGTTTAATAACAATATGAGATGAAAAAACTATAATATTATATGAAAAATTGTTGAACTGGGTTAACTGATTGCATCAAAACACAAAATAATAGTTTTCTCAATAATAATACAACGCTCACTTGAAGTTGGCGTCCTGCAGCAGCTTCGCTATGACGCTCTCGATGTCCTCGCCGACGTAGCCGGCCTGCGTCAGCGTCGTGCAGTCGCAGATCGCGAACGGCACGTCCAGGCATTGCGCTATCGTCTGTGCCAATAAAGTTTTGCCTGTACAAACAAACACGTACACACAGCAATTAGCTACTATGTTCGATAAACACCCTATAGTTGTCTTCGATTATACTGACACAAAAATAAATTATAAGAATCCATTTTTATCTTAATCGAAAGTGAAAATAATTATAAAAATGTTTCTTTCGAATGTGTTCGGTACATCGATATTACTGCTTGAGAAATTTTTCAGTCAACCGATTTGAGTGAAAGGTTACAATTTCGGGTCAGACAATAACAAAATCAACTCCATTGCGACCCCCCTCAAGTAAGTATATTTTTTAAACTTAAGCTTAGAACAAACATAGCCATCTAATTATCAGCTGACGACTAGAAAGACCTCAGGGAGGTTAACATCGGGAGTATAAATGTTATCATTAATTGTAATTATGATAATTCCTATATATTGATCACAGCCCAAGATCGACTTTGTGCGAGTACCGGTTAGGCCAATGAAAGTAGTCAACAAATATACGCAGTAATGTGCCCTGATATAACCTTTACTGTTGATTCTAAACCCATTTCCAAACGACTAATGTAACAAAAGGCAGATGTTACGCGAATACATAAGAAATAAGTTTAGGTAACATACCGGTAGTTCCACGGCTTATTTTTTTCAGTTATCAATAATACATCGTGGGTGCAATTTTAATTAACAATAATTGGGCATTTAACAGAATGGGCTCCAGGTGGTTACACAGTGGACGCCACCAAGCGTGAACTATTAGTTAAAAATTAGATAATTGATCCATCTCGAGTCATATAAGTATACCTGAATCTGATGGCAAATCGGGAAATTTTAATTTGTAAAAGACAACATTGGTGAAAAGGGATAAAGACGTCTCGATACTTGTAATATTTTTACATAATAAAAACTTTTCAATAACTGCCTCGTAGCATGGAACATATTCCTGACCAAATTTCGATCACGGCAAATTGTGACATAGATTAGCCATTCATTTCAGAGCTATCAATTATGATGTCTGCTTGCACTTGGTTTTAAAGATTGACAATGTCAAAAAAAACGTAGGAGGATATGGTTCTCTCTCTCGCTCGCTTTCTCTATCTCTACCCATAACAGTTGAAGAGATTTAAGTGCAATACAAAGTTAAAGATCAAGCAAAGATTGGCGAATCGAAACGGTATCAAGATTCAACGCACACTTCCAATGACACGATAAGCTTACAATGATATTTGTGCTTTAAATAAAAGCTTTTTATATTTATTTATTCACATACTAGGTAAGTAATCGTGTATTTTAAAAATAAAAAAACAACATTTGAATGGCCGCGATACAGAAGTGGCAAATAATTCGAAATGTCTAAAAAAATTGCACAATCTTCAAAGTGATTGATGCAAATATAAGTGATGTGTTGCATAACATCATGACTCAGATTTCTTTTTCACATTATCCTTATGAAATAAGGTCCCGCAACAATCTGTTTTATCGCGGCCGAACCAGAAGCAAAATGAATATTTATACTTTAGGTACCTTAAAGGGGGAAAGTACTGTGGCGACTGATACATAGCGACATCTAATTCATCCCACTAACATCGCGACAGCAATCGATAGCGAGCACATTAGCATGGTCACAGCAATCGATTATATTTAAGTATATCTTAATTTTTTTATGTTTTAAGTTTTAGTTATATTATATAACTACATAAATAATATACGGTATTCATATCACACGCTAAGTAGTCCTTCTGTTATGGAAATCTATAACCAACATAACATAATCCAAAGACGATATTATTATATTTTATTAGGGTTCCATACGTCAATAGGAAAACAAAACGGAACCCTTATAAGATCACTTTGTTGTCAGTCTGTCAAGATCTTTTATTACGGAAACGCGTGGAGATAGAAGTTGGAGTTTATACCTTATAATCCTATTATCCTATTAATATTATAAATGTGAAAGTTTCTTTGTTTAGATGTTTGGATGTTTGTACGTCAATCACGCCGAAACTACTGAACGGATTTTGATGAAATTTGGTATACAGATAGGGATAGGGATATTTGTTAGCTGACTTAGATAATAGGATACTTTTTATCCCACAAAACATTTCCCGCGGGTCCTCGCGGGCGAAGCCGCTGGCGAAAGCTAGTAATATATATTTCTCACGATTAAACGCAGGAGACGTAACAGGTCGCAATTTTATATTGACCTGGCCGGTGATCAAACCCGTTATATTAAATATACTTCTAGAGTAACGACACCTTGAAACCGCGTCTGAACCACTCGGCCATGAATGTGGCCAAAAAGACGCGGTCGTCTAGATTTAGAGTAGTACACATAATTTAGTTTTATTATCTAATTCGACCTCGTAACCGGTTTCCAATTAAAATTATTAGAAACAAGCTTTCGCCAGTGGCTTTGCTCGCGTGGTTACGTGGGATAAAAAGTATCCTATAATCTAAGTCAGCTAACACCCTATCTGTTTACCAAATTACATCAAAATCCGTTCAGTAGTTTTGGCGTGATTGACGGACAAACATCCAAAGATTAATAAGATCTAAAAAGTGGAACACCTCAGTTTTAAGGTCAACACAATAACCTCAACATATTTCCTTGGCAATATTTTATATCATGCATATGTTTTTTTTAATTAAATAAATATCATACATCATCATCATCATCATTTTCATCATCATCATCATCATCATCATCATTAGCCCTTTTACGTCCCCACTGCAGGGGCTCAGGCCTTCCTTATGGATGGTTAAGGAGGATAGGATGATTGGAGGGTATTAACGACTGCAAATGCAGCCGGGACCAACAGCTTAACGTGCCTTCCAAAGCACGGAGTAGCTCGAGACAATTTTCTTTTTTGTTTTGGTCACCCATCCCGTGACCGACCCTTGCGAAAGTTGCTTAACGACAACGATCGCGGGCCGCGGTGCTTATCCATTACGCCACCGAGCTACTCAATGAAATATCATACATCATCCATCAAATACCTACGTTACGTTCATTGCTCTCCTGTACACTTCTTCAGATACCAAAAGTAGCTCAAGCGTTGTTATGCAAATTATAATTTGCGAAAGTGCCACAAACAGACACAACGGGTTCCAAACAATCGTTTCTTGAACATACATTATGTTACGATGAAATTTAACCAGATAAGACGACGCTCCCACCACAATCAGCAACTAATTCATTTTCTTACATTTCCTGAACAATTTACATGATGCCGACTTCCTGGGGTTATAAAATATCCAAAAGGCAAACATTTAAACACAAGTCACATCCAAATTCCATAAATGTAAACCTCACTTCATTTACCTTACATAGAGTATCGGTAGTGCAGTTGATTTTCCATCATTTTATAATCAACACGCCATGTATGGGGAGCTGCGAGACTCTTATCGCATTACGTTACATAACGTCCGTCGTCGCAGACGTACCGAATGGCAACACCGAGCGGTTTACCATAATTTAATTAAACCATGACTCTGTATTTATGTTAATTGATATGGAAGTGGAACTGGTTTAATATTACGCATAATTTGTTTGTTTTCGTTCGGCATAGTGAGAGTGTTTACATTACATTATTACACATGACCACGGTTCTTATTTAATGACACGTTTGTTAGTTAAGAAGTAGTTCGAGTCGGATTAATGCACTGAGATTTGCTAAAATAAAATAAAAAACTGTGATTTACAATTTGCTGTATAATATATTTTTTCCATGATTCATTTTAGGGATCCCGTAGCAAAAGCTGTGCGTCCGTATGTCACAGCTACTATTAGCACTATATAGTAGAAATTTGGTAGATTTGAGTTAGTTCTGTGAACCTCTTTACGGTTTCTATATGAATAAAAGATAACCTCAATGAACACTTTTGCTCTAGAGCAAATTTATAGAGAGCAAATATAACTATGAAAAGCAAAGTATTTTTTAGCTAATCTTTACTTGCTTTTGGATGAACCCGCCTGACTTGTATTTGTTTAATGTTTATAATCGACTCCGTTTCTCGTTTATCGTTATTATCATAAACCAAAAACTGCTATTTATAAAAATAAGTATTTGCTTTAAACATTTTACTAAGAATTCTACTTGTCGAGAGAAAAAACTTTGAACAAGATTGACAAACATACATTTTAAGCAGTACAAAATTGCTCCAATAATTTGTTCGTGTAAGAAACTTCAGATAAACCCATACGTAAGATATAGTGCCTATAGCGAGTGTTATTTAGCACTTTCACTCGCGGCGCCCGACGATGCGCCGGCGCAGTGACATAACCCTCATTTTGTTTGTATCACAAGCGAGATGGAAACCGACTCAACGGCGCATGTAAATTTTAATACTTATAGAAACAGCTGTAATAATTTACATGACATTACGCATTCGAGGAAATATTACAAATATCTATGATCTGCGATTAAGAAATATAAAAAACATTTCAAAAAATATGTAATTATATTTTTAAATTCCTAATGCACGAATCTATCAGCTATAACTTGAAAATGTTTCAGTAATTTTAATTGTGATTTTTCAGTCCTACACATTTCTATATAAAATATAAAGAGAATATATTTTATATTTGAGGTTAGATTTGGTTTAGACATGGCTATATTTTTATGCATAGAGCATTGCTGTTCTTTACAAGGCGATGTATGACATTAAAATAGAATGCAAAGGTCGTATATCACCATTAAGTAAGTGCACCAAATATAGCGTTTGCAAATTAGAATCTATGCGATTTGAATACAAACTATCTAATATAGTCTGAATGCAACAATGTACCCGCGTCGCAATATTAAACTTCACATTAGCATTTTGAGTTAGATAAGTACCTATTTTAATACCCACATTACGAAAACGAATTTCATCTCATGGTGAATTTCACCTAATCGCTTATTTGCGGGATAAATGATTATGGCCAACCAGTTCAGAATGTCCAATTCCAAAAAGTTTAATAGCCGGAACGTCCAATACCCAAAATGCTCGAAATATATCCTTAAGAATGTCAATTTACATCAACGGCGAAAATACTTTAATGTACATAAACTCGCACCACAAGCTTTAAAATAAAATACACATACTAACATGTAACAACTTTAAAAACGTATTCAAACCCTTCTATGCCTATTGAAACAATATTACAAATGGCGACCGTGTATGATTGATCAATTTTCCAAATCAAAATTCTTCAATGAATCGCAAACTAATATCAATTCCACCACAAACGTTGCTGTTACATAACATGATAGACTAATAAATTACACCATGGTAAAATCATCTTTATAAATTAGTAAGCAAGGACAAGATTCGGTGATTTAATATATTCAACCGGTTGATAAGTTCAATTTGACTAGCTGACGTTACAGTATATTCATAATAACTTATACATTATCAAATGCCTATGTGAAACCGGTTGGTGTATTCAAAAGTTTTTGAAGATGTTTCTATTAAAATTTTATATGAAAAATAAGTAATTCATTAGTTCAAATCGACCATGGAGCATTAGAGCCTACAAAGGTCGTCCGGTTACCTAAAAATGTAAAAACTAATCAAAAAATGTTCGTTAAATAATTCTTTTACATTGAAAATTCGTAATATACGTTGTGTGTGATGTGACGAGGCCACAGATCGCTAGTGGTATATTCCAGTAATCGCATCGTGGTGTAATCTGTGAGCTTCATCCATTATTCTCCGATAAATATTCATCGCGGACGTCAACCTCATTCACTTTTGTATTGTATGCGAATTACAAGATACCGTGACCCGTTAAGGTAAAATTTCGTGGTAGCCGTTTCGCAAGCCCCGGAGTGAAGAGATTCAGTTTGATTTACGAGTATATGCGACGTGTTCATTTTTATGTTGGGGTGTTAAATAACGTGCCCGGAATTAACGCAAAAGAAAAGGCTGCGCACAAATCAAAGAATTCAAACCTATATTGGATATAATGTGGGCAACTCGTTGTCTATACTGGTCTAATGTACGTATGACTGAATGCAGAAGAATGGGAGCATGATGACGTTAGTGATTTATCAAAAAATTTACTTTAATAATACGGGTCCTGGTTTCAAATCGTCATCATCATCATCATAAGCTTATTTATCTCCCCATTGCTGACACCCAAGCCATCCGCGTGGATGGAACTGGATCGAATCGAATAGATAGAATGGCTCATGTGCCGTATCGGTGCGTGTCAACCAAAGCAAACGCAAGCGGAACCAACAGCTTCTGAAGAAACATATCTTCTGAAGAACAGAGGAGTTCGAGATAATATATTTTCCGTTTTTCGGTGAATACGAAAGTTGTTAACTTCTACCTCGCAGACCGAACTCACCAAACAATGCGTAATCGAGCTCCTCCGTTACAAATACATTTATCGATTGTAATTGTTAATTGTTTAAATGTATATACGCTGAGATGCGTGAGCAATCTCATGAAAGTTGTTTTGAATTATGTAATTACCGCTGCTGTAAAGTATCAAGGCGATAAAACTGGTCAACGTTCACTCGATTCATAGAATAATAAACAAGTTCGGAGGGATATTCCAACGGCAATCCTATTTCTACTTTAAGTCAGGCGGATTTCTTCACTTTATTTTGCTACAGTTTAATTTAGTTTATTTCACATTATCGCTTAATATACTAATCGAATGATTTAAAGACAACGCACAATAGAAATGGCTGTGTAGGGCCTTAAACTTTGTTCTATTTATTACTTACGCGATTACTAAGATTTTTTTTCGGAAATTTGACCCCGAAAATGGTTAAACGGAGCGATATTATACGAAAGTTCTTTATTATTGAACGCACAGCGATGATAAGGACGGTCGGCAAAACAAAAAACGTAACGCGTACTGACCGCAGCCGGTGGGCCCCAGCAGCAGCACGTTGCTCTTGTCCAGGCGCAGCTCGTGGCTCTGCCGCTCCAGCACCTCCGCGCCGCCGCCGCCGCCGCCGCCGCCGCTGCTGTTACTCAAGTGCAGGAGATCTGCAATGCAGAGCACATCTCTAGTCACTGGGCTACAGTTAACATGATATGTACTTCAAAATTTACCAAAAAATTCAAAAGGACGAAACCATATTTGTTGGCGATAGGATATTTGACGACATTAAATTTATATTAAAAATTGTGGCCTATAAGATAATAGTTTAATGACACGTGTAATTTTTTGAGATTACACAAAATTAAATATTTTTGGCATATTACCTGAGACGAAAACGCCTTGTAAATTGCAGCTCCGTTGACGTCACAAGCTAGTAAATATTGCTTCCTGCTGACGACTGCAGTTGATGAAGTTTATTAATTTACTTAGGTGTGACGTCGTAGGCGGCGTACGACAGCAACGGCGTTTTTCGCGCGGTTTCAGAAATTTAAACGTTAACTCTGAATTTTTCTTGATTAATAGAGTAAATTCACAAAAATATTAATGCAATTTTTTATATTATGTAATAAAGAATAATTTAAAACGACTTTTCTTAATTAACCTAATACCCTATTAACATAAAAATTGATTAGGGAAATTTGACATTTTGTCGTATATTATTTTAGAAATCTAGAACTCAAGTGGGTATCGGATAAAAATAAATATTATTCTCTAAGATTTTTTTATCGCCACTAATTAAAATTTGGATTGAGTTCTATTAGGTGTAACAACAAATATTAATGTAAGTAGCAACAAATTGATGTTATCAAAAGTCGATAACGTATATTGTGGAAATAACTTGTTAAAAAACAATAAAGACGTCAGTGCAATATTGTTCAATAGTACTTAGAACGAAATAAAATTCAGAAACATGCACGCAACACAGAAACCGGCCAAGTGTAAGTCGAAGTCGGGCACGAAGGGTGCCATATGTTGTGAGAAAGCCCCCTTATATAATTATTTTGTTCTATTTCTAGTTTAGTTATGGCGGCAACAGATATACTTCATCTGTAAAAATTTCAACTGCCTAGCTATCAGAATCCATGAGATGCAGCCTGGTGACAGACAAATGAACCGCGGAGCCTTAGGAATAGGATTCCGATTTTATTCTTTGAATACAGAATGCTAAAAATAGTTTATTATACTCTATTTGTAAAGAATTTATTTGAATTTATATATAAGTCACAATAAAAATATTTCAGAAAATCCGAAAACCTGAAAATTTTATCAAAATTTAAGCTTTTTGAAAATACTATCCGCTGTAATTCAACTGTATCATATCGATATGTACATAAAAGATGTCAATAATTCTGTGTGCGGAAATGTTTCTATCGACATGTCTCACTGACGTAACAACACAATTCAACATACCAATATAATGATATACTTTTATTGCATTACTTTTTCATTTTATTACATTTAATTGAAAGGTCAACGCAATTTGTTAAATGTCTCAGGTATTTTTAGACTTATAACTAAACGGATCGCAGTCAAGGACCTGTTAATGCATAAAGAATGCACTAAATGGCATTCAGCCTGCACACAAACTGGTTTATTTTTATTAACGTACCTAATTTGATCAAAATCAATATGATAAAACGGGAAGCAAAAACTTAGGACCTATGTCTAAGGAAATTTCCCAGACTGAGCAACATGAAATTCAGCACTTCAGCTTGCAGTATGGATATTGTTTTTAAAAATAATGCTAAAAAAAATACATTAAATTAATTGAAAAATTAATTACATTACTATACATTTTAGACTTGTATACATTCAGTAAACAAGACAAATAACGTACTACTTATCGTCTAACATACACGTATTTTTTGTTTTATTATTAGATCGTATACTCCACTTCACGTGCTTAGATAATTATAAATTTTTCACGTTTTTCTACTTATGACAAATCGGTCAAATCGTATTCTAACACGATTGTATTTACCCCTCTTATTAGAAACAAAATGGCAACGTTAGCAGACTATAAAACTGAACTTAACCAGACAAAACTAGTAATTCTCGTAATATTGTTTCGTTTGAGGATACTAAGTACTCGACATTCTAACAAAAGCCAAGCAAAGGTCAAGTTGTATTATGCCTGGCAAACGACACGCTTTCACTGTGTCGACAACGGCGGGAAAATAATTGAAACCATTTTTGTTTTTTTGGAAATCGATTAACGTTCCTCAGAAAAGACGCCTGAACCGCTTTCTCGGTGAGAAAGTGTTTTAGAAACAATATCAATACACTGTTGTTGTACGTATGTCGGTAGCGCTGAATGGAAAAGATCATGAGGTCGTTCACCAACAAAAGTGGACCGATCGAGTCAAAGACTAGACGTCCTTCAAATTCTGCACGGTCGTATCGGACGTCCTGTTCGGACAGTACAAATAGAGCCAGATTATTTATGTACTCTTCCAGTTATGGTCTCGAAGAAGGAATGAGAGATCAGGGAGAGAATTTTGAAAAGAAACAATAATTTTTCACGTTTGTTTCAGTACTCAAAAGTTCATATTCGTTTTATTAATACAGCGCAGCACTTTGGTCAATTATAGGTATTTATGAATGGGGTATCTCGTCATTACTAGAATGCTGGAACCCTAATAAAGTGTTACGCACGCAAATCACCATCCCCTGAGTCATCTCATCACAGGGCATAGGTAATCAATGTGACCAGGCGTCCCGTTCTGAACGGGACCGTCTCGCCTGGAGAAGGCGGCAGGACTGCATTATGCATTAGGCATCTATGCGAAAACATTCCCGTTTAGCTCCAATGAGTGCGTACCTCTGTGCGCGTGGTGCAGCGGATGGTGGTGGTCGGCGGGCGCGGCGCCGGTCACGTTGTTGTAGATGCGCTTGTAGTGGTTGTACACCGCCACAGACAGCACCTTCTTCGCGTACTCCTGACCGACCACGTGCTTGTTCAGGTATTCGAATATTTTCTTAGGCGGTGGAGGGGGCTTTCTGTTCACAAAATCATATTTGTATGAAAAATGTTTGGATATTCAAAACAAATTTAATGTTACCGATTTCATTAACATCGATGCTTAGGTACATTTATCGATCAACAACAGAGATAATTTTAGATATTCAATTTTAATATGGAATAAATAAGTATTCAATTGAGCAAATGCAGAGCACATTTTTTCGATAGATAGACCATTTCAGTTTAACATTTAAAAAAAACTGATCACATCCAAGTCGGTTTCGCTCACAGTAGGTTCCGAACAATAACATATTAAATTTTACAAAAAAAAAGGACCATAAACATCTTCCATTTCTAACAGCTATTATTAATTGTACGGGGCGATTTTGCATAAATCCGAATACACTCATGCGTCCGAATTCACGTCATTTAGTAAAGACATTATATTGATTCCATTTTTGTATAAAAATACAAAACAAAATTGATTAATTATACGTCTCTCACATATTCTATTCCTATTTCTTTTCGAAACTCACTTCACTTATGATTCGATTTGGGTTTTGGGTTTTACAAAATCGCAGGTCATATATCTTATAGGTACTCCAGATAAATTTAAACATTGTTTACTAACGGAACCTCATTATTATCACTTGATTGAGGACGCAGACATCTTGTATACAACCGTCCAAGTAATCACCTAAAATGGGTAATCATATTGAAGTTGAACGATAAGTAAACGTTGCAAATTTTAAATACTATTCCTTTTTGTTACTTAACATTATCTTTTTTTAATCTGACAACACCTACCGTTTAAAAGAAAGTTAATGCCGAGTCGTTATGTAAGACCGTTAAACGTTAACATCGTCTATACAGATATTACTTTTATGTAGCCAGCCTGCGTTTATTTATCATCCATTTTTATAATGTCATGATGACATTATAAAAATGGATAATAAAGCAGCCCATGCAACGAATAATTTAATAGTTACATTAAATTTAATCATTTATAATATTAAAAGGTGTCTATTAATATTACCAAAAGATAATGTTGAAAAAGGGCGAATTGTTCCAAGGACCAAAGGCTAAGGAATATGGACTAGGTGGCTGGCAAACTAAAAAGATCGACACAATAGGCACGCATGTTGAATGTTGAAAAAGGGCGAATTGTTCCAAGGGCCAAAGGCTAAGGAATATGGACTAGGTGGTTGGCAAACTAAAAAGATCGACACAATAGGCACGCATGTTGAATGTTGAAAAAGGGCGAATTGTTCCAAGGACCAAAGGCTAAGGAATATGGACTAGGTGGCTGGCAAACTAAAAAGATCGACACAATAGGCACGCATGTTGAATGTTGAAAAAGGGCGAATTGTTCCAAGGGCCAAAGGCAAAGGAATATGGACTAGGTAGCCAGCAAGCTAAAAAGATCGACACAATAGGCACGCATTCATTTCTTTGAATTGAAATTTTGTTTTTATTTGATAGTAATAATAATCTAAGAATGATATCCTCCTCCCAAATAAACAAACAATCCGCACCAATTGACCTTACACGCTTGATGAGAAACGAAGGTTTCCGATCGACGCGGAGAGGAAAAGACACGTGGAAATAAAAGAATCCAAAGTAATAAAAAACAAACATAAATATTTTAGAAAGAAACAACTTTTTAGATGTTTATCGTGTCGATGTATTGGCACACAGAAGCTAGTGTGAGATAAGATGACGTCACGCGCGATACCGCGCAATGTCAAAGGTTCAACGACCTTGCACTGATGTAATATTTGCTAATCTGATTGTCTTCGAATGTTCGCTGTTGGGCGTGAATTTGGAACATCTCATTAAAATACTAAGGCAGACAAATAGCGTATAGGGAATAGGCGTCGAAAACAAGTTTGTTCAAATGATATTTTAACATTGTGACAGACATACAGAGAGATGCTATTCCGAAAATATAAAAAATAGGAAAACATTTAAAACTTCAAACAAATTATTGTTATCTATCAGTGACGATTTATTAATAGAGACCCGTACATTATTGCAAACTTTTTTGGCAGCATTACATTATAATTATAATACAACCACATAGGACGCGAAAAAATCAATAACAGTTATCTCCCTATTAAAATCATAAAGCATACCTCTTGTTATAACAAGATAAACATACTTGCCTAACTTTACGTGTAAACTCTAATCTCCCCTAATCGTAGAACATGATGCACGAAAAAATGGCCGCGTCCAATGACGTTCGATAATTATTATCGGAATAAAACTTTTTAGTTTTTTTCATTGTCAATGTGATTTTTTTGTTTATACACGCATGATGGCATTATTTCTCCAAGTTTTCAGAGAAAATAACAAGTGCCCAAAAACCATTGAAGTCGAGCTGAGGTTTCTGTAGTTTATTAAATATTAACCGCCCGACTTAAAATGTTCCTTGACAAATTTTACCGCTTTATTTATCACTTTTTCTAAATTGAACTCGGTTCTATTATTTGAAAAATGACTTTATTTAATTATTTTAGTGATACTTATCTAATATAAATATTTTGTAAAAGTATCACTAAAATATTAAATATCTAAAAAGATATTATATTTACAGCGAATGGCCCGAAATTTTTATTTATTTGCACGACGTAACCACGCGGAAATCAGTGAACATACCTACTTGCATAAAAATATATGTTATCGATTGTTCAATAGAAATAGAGAAAGATGAAGAAAGCTGAAGTAATACGAGGATCGGGTGCAACACAACCAAAGAGTAAAGTGTTTAGATAATTTAACTGACTTCAAAACTTATTACAAAATCTACAAAGAGTATATTTACGTAAAGATATGAAAAAGTATAATCTATATACAAAAAGGGTATTATTCATAATAATCGTTATGATATCTAATGAAAAACAACTTTTTGTATTGCTATAGAAAAAAACTACTTACTTATTCGATTTCGATAAAATTTAAATGGAAACACCGAACCATTAAGCTGTCGAATAAAAAAGGATTTTGAAAATCGATTTATATTGGCGGAGTATTCGCTTAATAAACACACAAGAAACATAAAGTCCAATTGAGAACCTCCTCATTTTTTGAAGTCTAAATTTCTATACATAATTTATTTATAATATCAAATTATTTATTAAATTGACAACTTTTTATATCTTAGATTATGGTAAGACTTATATGACAATTATCATGTTGCGTGTAAAAACAATAGAGGTTTTGACATGAACAATTAAAAAAATACAAGCAAGTTGATACTACGTTTACTTCCACGACTGATAATTTAACATTGCAGATTTTTTTATTGATTATTCACAAAACAGCTAACAAATTCAAGCCACTGTTACGCCTGCGCTTGACGCATAAATCTGAGACCACCCCGATTGGTCCTTGTATGTTAGAACATGTCGACAGCTGATCCTTTAAGAATTAAAAACATGTATCCGATTACCTCACTCGGTCCGTACGTGATTAACAATTAAATAATAATGTATAAAAAACTGAAATAGATTTTTTTTTAATCAAAACGTACTTTGATCGTAATGACAACTTATAACTATTGTTGAGAGCAACGTTGCAATAATCAAAATGTATTCATAGTTAACGGAATACAAACGTAACAAAAAAAATACATACATACAAGTCAAATTACAGAAGCATGTAGTTAGTAAACGAATCCTGATCGGTCACGGTCGCTGTACGTCAGAACTCAGAACTGACAAATTATATGACGTATGTACTAACGCATACTTTTTTATGACGCTTGCCACATATTCCGTTAGATTTGCAGCGGCATTTAAATAGTAAAACAATATTACGACTAATCTGATTTTAGACACTGTCATTGGATAAAAATTAATGATGAATAATGGATAAATAAAAATCACAGTTCAAAGCACCGCGGAAGATTGTGGAATCGATATGTCGTACGGCCAATTTAAAAGGGCGTCCAAACATCACAATTAACACGTCAAGGAAGTGACACGGCACACCGGCAGTGTAACAGAACCAACATCAATGTATTAAACGTAAACTATTTCAATATTCCTTTGGCCTTTCTACCGTTAAAAATCGTTCGTTTCGAAACATTCACTTTCTACTTACGTAATACGTATCCGAACACTATCCATTTTTTGCAGATTTTTTTCATGACATTACTGTAATGATTATGAGGCTTTTGCGTTTCCCGTTAAGTTCGTATATTGCCACTTACCTTACTTAGTATAGTGGTCTTACGAACGTATGCATAATAAACTCCAGAGAATTATTATAATTGAAAACTTGTCATCGTCACAAAACATTTTAGCGCTCGAGATTACACATCGTACCTATATTTGACACTATGAAAGGTCATAATTTTAATTGCATAGATATTATGTCAGATAAGACTTAATGGTCTATTTAACAATATTTACATTACTCTACATGGCCATCAATCAATCATCAAAGGCCATCATCGGTGGTTATTAAGAGTAGATACAACACTAAACATATATTATCTGGCAGTCAAGTAAGAGTACGTTTTGTAAAAGTAACCCTAAAACTTTATTAACTTTTGAATTTTAGATAAAATAAAAGATTAGATGAAAGACATAAGTAACACGAATGGTAAATAACATGTTATTAATGAAATTTTGGATAGGCAATTAGATAGAGACACATAATGTCAGACTGCAGTTGCGCCTGCATCACCTTAGTTCGGACAATACCAGTATCATTAAACAAATATTTTATTCTAATCTAACCTGCAGAATCCTGACTTATTTTCGGCGTTGTCTTTGATGCTCTTCTTGGTGTCTACTTCGCTGAGGACCACAAAGAAATGGTGACATTTGTCGCACTTAACGAAACGTGTGGAACTGACGAACGTCTCCACGTGGGTACACGGGTCTCCACATTTGGGACAAGTGAGGACACCGTTACCTGAACCTGACTTCTTGCCGCCCGATGTGCCTGAGTGGAAGAAAAAATATAAATTAAAACAGATATTCATTCGAAAACAATAAAGAAAGAACCCACTGGTATACAGCTGAAGCTAGCAGTGCTAACACGGGCCATATACCTAAATTCCTTGGTTTCCACATTTCTAAAACATGACATCTATACTAATATTATAAAGAGTTATAGTTTCTCAATTTGTTTGTTGTAATCTTCGGCAATATTAATCGGACCATGAAAAATTTTTCACTTATGAGAAGTGGGTGACAAGCTGTAATTTGCGAGGGCGAACTCACGTGGAAACAGCTAGTATAGAATATAAGGAAAATATTTTTATTATATAACGTATAATACACCTCGCCAAAAACGTAGAACACAAATCGCCTTACTGTACGGGGCTAAAGTTCGTTTTGACCGTTTAAATAAAATTGACAATGAAATTGAACGTGAGACGTGTTGATTTATTTAGGTCGGATAAGGTTAAAAGTTGATACTAAAGTTAGTTCTCGTTTTATAATAAGACGGAAAGGGTATACCAAAATTTGCATATAACAGAAATGAATATACACCTGAGTTGACGGCATCCTTGGGCGGGTGCTGGTGCGGTGGACCGGGGGGCTGTTCCGTGGGACTCTTACACAACACTGTGCATGTCGTTAGCGTGCGGGGCCCGCTGCGCCTCAAAATGCGGCATTGTTGTACACCTGATGACGAATTAACAAAAAAATTATAAAGAAAAGGCGTTATTCCATCGGTATATAAGAATTATTAGCAAACTTAACAGATTATTGTATCAACATAAAATAACTCTGATTAAAAGATTGTTTATAAGCACATTGCACCAGAAACAGCAAATTTGCCAGCACAGAGGTAAGTTTTTTTAAATCTGCGAGTTTTGTACTTCACGTATCTCCTTTGCCCTTTATACATATATAATCATCTATATTGTTACATTAAATATATATTTTTTAGTTTATATGTCCATGGGGAGGAAGGCACATCTGAAGGATGACAATGGTTTCGGGCATCAAATAGTGTTAATCCGGCACATCAAATAATAGTGAGGTGCCACCGACCCTAAAGCATAATCCTAAGAGTAATAGTGGACTCCCATATCAACTATTTGCTACACGTGAAACTCGACCTCACATAGCTAAAAGAGGTCATATGCACAGTACATGAATATCACGTGCAACATTCAGATCGTGACATAATCAAAATTCTCATATTATCTTTCATGTCGGTGAACTGTAGCGTCGTTTATGCGACGTACTAGTGTCATCAATATTGCATTTACATTTATTGCTTTATCGATATATTTCTTTAAGATACACATACTCGTGCTAGTTTGTTTATTAGTATCATATTATCATTACCATAGCTGTTTTCACGCGATTGCGCCCGTGTAAATTACCTACAGCGTATGTCAAGCGCTTATGATATATTTGCAATATTTTTTTAACCCCATCCACATACTTTCGAAGAGTATTTAATGCAAATAATCAAATATATCCTCTTTGTGGTATTGGTATTTATTTACAAACAAATAATTAACGTGGAATATTGAAAGAAACATTACCCCCATCACACAATTACTCTTTTAGAAGATGGTCACAAGTAATAGATTTCAAAACAATGGGGGCCATTGTTCGCATCACTTATCTGAAGAAATCAAGACACCGCCATTGTTGACGCACAACAATATGCAATTAGTCAATCGTGATAAATTCAACGCGTAATTATTTGTTATTATCACAGAATTCCAGTATTACACACATTTCTTTACAATTCCGGGTTTTCAGTTTAGAGTAAAAACATTAACCTACATTATAGGTATATTTGATTTAGCGTCATCTTAAAATCTATCCATACAATATATGCAATGCACTTATAGTTATATGAATTCAATTTGAAAAATGCAGAACTGGTGTTTAAGTCAATAGTGATTGAACATAAATCAATCTGCCCGCACGTGCTCCGCAAGTATACACTACATCACAAGTAAATGAGCTCAAACAATTTTGCGCCATATACATATTGGTATATGGTGCAAAATTGTTTGAGCTTGGAAAATTATTTTCTTTTATCTTAGATGTACTGACTGCTGACCCTTAACGCGTGATACCCAACGCACAGTACTAATAGCAGTCTACATAATGTAAATAAAAATTCTACAATATCAGTATTTGAAGATTAATTAACTTTGTAAGGTTTAGTTATTTTTATATAAGTATGTTCAAAAATTTCTCAGCGAATTGAAGGTTAACCGAATATTATTTTTATTCGAAAGCGGTAAGTGCGTCGATATATGTACACAAAACATACACAACCTAGACAAAATCTCCGCCCTACTTCAATAGTTTTCATGAACCGCCTTTATTTCACGTTTTGAAGTCAGTTTTATTCCTAAATATATATATATATATATATATATATATATATATATTATTAAATACCTATATGTATAGTATATAGGTATTAATTAAATATATTTGGAGGTAACAAAAATTTTATTTTCAAGTACATTCTCATGTTTCCTTTTGCGAAAAAATGTGGAATCATTGATTTTTAATGTTCTAAAATACCTCGCTAGCCTTGAATTAGCCGAATGTATAAAATGTAATTTTTTATGCACACAAAACAACAAAGTTTAGTTTTCATTGCCTCAATCTTATGATTATAACCTTAACCTTAAATTGTTAAGGACATTTTAAATCGTGTACACTCAACAGGGACGTCAGAGTATACACAAATCATCTTAAAACCTTAAAGTTTTAAGGGTAGTGTTTATTAAAACCAGCTGGAGACATTTGTTATGTTGTGGTAAAGTAACGTGCAGCCGTGTGTACCTAACATTTAATTAAAGTTTATTTAGATGTTATCTACTGATACAAAACCAATTAAAAGATCAAGTCATTTTTGGTTTACGCGCTCTACTAAATTACGGTAGTTATATTCGTAACCTAAGGCGCTTCAGCAATATATGCCATGTTGTTATTCAATATTTACTATTTACATATTCATGAACATGTTATCTACGGTAATATACTTTTTATATAATATAAAAAAGGAGCACTAAGCGATTTCGATGAACCGTGTCAAGGCGTTCTTCATAAACAGGTTCACTTGTGAACAAGGACAGACGGTACTGTTATTGTTTTAACCCATGCCATGTTAATGACATTAAAGTTACAGATGTAGCCGTAGCCGTTGTCCGCACCGGCCTACCGCGTAACTGCATTGGCTTGGATTCGGTTGGCACTTCATTCAATAAAAATGCAATCAACCCAAAAATCTATCCGTTGGTATTGTACAAAAGGCGATGAAAGTTTGACCACACTACTCTACTGTGTGACAGCAAGCAACACCCAGTGGCAGATTATCCTTTAGGTAAACTAGACGTGTGCCTAGGAATGCCATGTTACAGAAGACTGCAAATTATATAAAATAAAAAAGTATATTACTCTAAACCCAGCAGTTTAATCATACCATGCTAATATTCTAAAAGCGAAAATAAAACTACTGAACCAATATTAATGAAATTTTGTACACAGATAAAGTGGACCTCGAGAAATGGCATAGGATAGTTTCTATCGCGAAAAATAGCTAACCACTATCTTATAAAGGATAATATCAACCAACAAGCCAACAATCATATCGCTTTCTTACCTCTTAACTTCTGTGTTGGTAAATAAAAATAACACATTTTAAATAAGATACACTGCAGATAAAATTATTTATATACTGTTTTATCGCGTATATTTATGAAAACTTATTTCACTTTTCAGACACAACAGATTTTTTACTTTACCTCCTACAAAGTTAAAAACATTAACTCTTTATAATATTTGTTAAATAGACTAGACTTGGCTATGGCTCCATTAACCTTTAACCAATGAGTAAGCAATTCGAGTCATATGAGATAATAAGTTGTAGGCGCGAGGGGTTTCGCAAAATTTGCCTCGTTTTTCAGCATCGTCATCTGATTACGAGCGCACTGAGAACCGGAAATGTATGTCGAACTGCATACAGGGCGGACTTACCGTGTACCACTGAAGTTGTCTAACAGACCCTCTTATTGTTTTGCAATAAATATATTCGGGACATGACATCTACTTTTCCACCCGTTAATATTTGTTTTTTTTTTTAAACCATAACTAACTCCCAATTAATCAGAAGATCTACACGTATACTTAAATTACATGTCTACACATTTTCATAAATGTCCTTTTATTATTGGTTATCTATACTAATATATTATAAAGAGGTAAGATTTGATTGTGTGTTTGCATTGAAAAACTAAAAGACCGATTTTAAAAACTTTTTCGTCTACGAAAAGTTGTCATAAGCGGGAGACAAACGCATTAAATTTATAAGTATATATAATATTATTATTTTATCGAGCAAAGAATTAAAATGCATATATCTGTTTTCATATGTTTACAATTTGAAGACCATCTTGAGACAGAGTGTCAGACTAGAAACGAACGTCCGCACCACTCTGCAATTAAGTGTTTAAAATGATTTCAAAGTGAAAGTCTAACACTTACGTACAGTTTGACTAGTTGCATATTACGTCAGAATCGTCATACTGATGCATAATTGGTGTAGCGCGCGTTATTATTTGGCATCAGATGACGAGATATGATGTTAATTATAGATACCAGATGAAAGATAAATTACCGACGGCTAATCGCTACTCATTAACAAAATAACCGCCGAAAATCTAGAAAATATATAAAACATATTCATAGCGCGATCGAGAACAAGACATAAAAAACATTTAAACAACATTGCATTGGCACATTTCTCAGATCCCAAACTAAATATTTTACTATGGAAATCTGACGGAATACACCCTAATCAAAATAAAATTTTCATTTTTTTTATATCAACTCGACCGGCAATAGAACCAGAGATCTCAGAGACGGAGACGCCTTCAAACCAGGGTAAAGACTACTCGTCATCTAAGAGAAATCGAACAGATAGAGAATGATTTTGACTATCGTTTATAAGAAGGCGGTAATGGTTGAGGAACTTCAAAAAGCGAAACATTCGATTACAGGGAAGCAGCTGGCAAATACTCATCAACCTTATTTTTTTATTGGTTCACAAGCTTGAATACACACAACTAAAACCACTGCCATTACAAATAAAATAAAATTTTGGCCCCATGTGGTCTATTAGAAGTGGATTTATCCTAGGTCATATTTATTATGGATTTATCCAAATAGTAATTTTCAATAAAATATTAGTCAACAATCATAATATATTTGTCATACAATAGAACTGTCACATAACTTTTACAATTATGATAATGTTCAGCCTTATCCCAAGATTAATACATTCTGGCTATATTGATATTATGAATAAATTAATTCATAGTGCTTATATAATGTTTTATATAATATAAAAGGTGAAAGGCCTGAGGAGTCTAGATTTAGAAAGATGCATAATGCAAATTAGACAAACAAAATAAAGTAATGAAAGAGTGTTTTCTCTTTCATATCTTTAGCTCTCTTCATGTTTATAGTGTGTATAGGACTCGTGGCGCTGAATGCAGCAAGGTATCCAGCATTACAATGATGTAGATAAATAAACAAAACAATGTTGAATTAAATTTAGAAAACAAAATTGTGTAAAATATGTATATAAAATTTTCTGATTAAAATTGTGAAGATTTCTTATAGAATTTAATTTGAAAATCTTACATGCCCTTATTTATGACCTTCCCGATTCCCTATATTATTTAAAAAATCATTCCTTACGTAATTAATGTACTAGAGGCTATTGCCCCAATTGGTTTTCAAGTAATTCATGAAAATTTATGTTTAAAACTCTTAGGTTTTTCAAGTCAATCTATTGTCAATAGTTAAGACTATTTGCATTTAACTCTTATGCATACTTTTAGATGAACAATTTTTCATTTATAAAATAGCTGTTTTAAATTTTTCTTTGATTTTTTACAATGTACAGTCATCAACATGTGACATTACTAACAAGGCCATATTTATCATTATTCAAGTATTTTTTCACATCTTAGTCAATTGTTGATCAATTGATATAGACTAGTGGTTTGAACATAGGCGTAATTACCCTTGGAGAGTTAAATCAGCTATTCTGTGGAGGTATCAAAAAACCTAATTGACAAATTTAACAAAAAGCTGCCACAGTCTTAGCATGGAACATTAATTAGGGCATGCTAATAACCATCACTATTATTTATATAAAGAAGTATTATGCAAGTGAAAATTTGGAGGTAACAAATAGTATTCATGTAATGCATATTGTCTCATTTTCATATTATATTTTGATAATAGAAATGTAAACCTGTACTTGCAGAAATCTATTGATTTCAAATTGACAATAGTAACATTTTCAACTGTCTCTACAAAGTTATAGTGCTGCAAGGTCATATAGCTAACGAAACACAAAAATGTAATGAATCTTATTGGACTGTACAGTCAACAATAAAATTTATCAACAATTTATAAATTGTAGTCAGTTGTTTATATTTCTAATAGATATGCATTTCAAACAACTCAACAAATTATACTGCAAATCACTAAATTTCATTAGAAATATGAGCAAAAGTTACTTATTTATCCAATCAGCCATATATACAATGTGAACAATAGTTTATATCAAATAAGAATTGCACATATGATGAAAGTTTGAATTATATAAATTTAAGGAAGGAAGAGTGTTGTTTTATGACGTAAAACTATATAGCAATACAAAATACCACAAAGAAACTATAAAGGACAGTGTCTGTGTCAAGCACATCAGGGCAATTAATATAGTTGTCAATGACCTTGCTAGATCAATGTTGCTGCCTCGATTGATACAATGTTAGCTACGGTACGAAATCTAATGAGCGAAGTAAATAAATATATTTATTAAATTGTAATGTGTTTTTAGAGCGGGAAACCGTGAAAGGGACACACACGCTTATGTTTCGTGATTTGTTATCAAACAGTTTGTAAAGTGCACTAGTTACACGATACGTATTACAACTGCGACATAACACTGGCAACTATCCAATAAAACAGCAAAATACAAGCCCAGTTAATAATTAAATTCACTCACCAGATATCCTGATCAGCCTTCCCACAGAAACTAAACTCAATCTAGCACTACTCATTATCACGGTTGATTACGACTCACAAATAACATCAGCTCCTAAATAAGGCGACCGACAGAAACGATAGACGAACGAAATAGAAATTATAAATTGCCGTAACAAGTCAGTCGCAATTTTTATTGTATTTGTTTGTCAGTGAGAGGTTTCTGTCATGACGCAACACTTTTAGTCAATATCGACACCGCCACTATTAGTTAAAATAAATAGACGATGCAAGTACGAAAACTGCACTTTCCTATTTTTTTGTATTTGATTTTGAAAAAAAAACAAATTTATTTTCTGGTTATTGAAGCGGCCATACTGATTGTTCACAGCTGATTTTGATGTGAAAGAACCAAGATTTTTCTGTACCACGTTGTTTCAATCATAGATGGTTTCAATAGTAACGTCATCTATTGACAATAAATGAAAACTAAGAACAAATGAACTGCTTTATCCTAATTATCCACAGACCAATGACATCCATGGATATAGTATCTATATAACAGGACCAAGCACTCGCACTTGAAATGCGAGCTGAAACCAATGCTATTTGTTTCTTTCAAATATGGTTCGTTAAGTGAAACTTAACTACGTCAGAAGCATGCAACCTGGTTTTTCAGTTACCCGAATGACCCGGTTAACCAACCGATTTGAAAACAATATGGTTTTTCACTCAACCAAAACCGGTTATTTCTATTTTTTATTTCAAGGTAATTGAAAAGGCATGTGTTTGTTTTTATTTTTAATTAAACAAGTTAATTTTTTTTGTAGTTTTTATGTATTATCTATTTGTGATTTATTTTGCTACAGAAACATATTTCACAAAATGAAATTGATAGAATAATTATTTAATCATCTTTGTTCTAATTAGTTATTGCGTAAAATGTGTCATATTATCAATCCAAGAGTTAATTATATTATTACTTTATTCATACTGATTTGATTTAACGAACAGTTTTAACATAAAATTATTTTCTTTACACAACTGCACAAAAAAGGTATCTATACTAATATTATAAAACTGAAGAGTTGGTTTGTTTGTTTGAACGAGTTTAACTCGGGAACTACTGGTTCGAATTGAAAAAATCTTTTTGTCTTGAATAGACCATTTATCGAGGAAGGCTTTAGGTCATATAACATCACGTTGCAACTATTAGGAGCGAAGAAATAATGGAAAACGCGGACGAAGTCGCTGGCGGCTAGCGGTCACTAGTATGTAATATATGCGTAATATAATATATGTAATGTTATTTTGAAAGATTTAACAGATATAAATGTACAGGGTATCATTAGAAACCTTGTGCCTTCTAAAATGACATTAGCTTTATATCAAAGATTCAATAACGCGAACGTATATAACGTAACCATAACAATATGAGTATCAAAGAAAGGTCTTGATGAGTACATTCGAGAAATAAAGACTTTGTTTACAATTACTGGTCACTAAAAATAATAACTATAAATATTTTTTTTTATATGTAAATAATTATATTTGATCAATTTTCACAATGCTATATTAAAAAATCAAACTCTGAGATCTTATTTCAGAGTGCCAGGAAAAAAAGGATTTTTTAAGCATTTTTCATTAAGAATAAATATATAGTGTTGAAAAAGGAAAAATAGTCATATAATAGTTTTTTGATAAAAAGAAGAACTCAATCACTGAAGGAGTTGAGAGAGCGAACTATCTTGATACTCCGTGTGAGAAAATGCCAAAGTCGTACAGCATGCATAGAGAATGAATAACAAATTAACTCTAACAAATGTCGAATGACGATGTGGCGACTGATACGTAGCAACATCTAACTCATCGCAGTAACATTGCCACAATAATCGATAGCGAGAAGACTAGCATCGTCATAGCAATCGATAGGAAAACGAACTGCAAGAATTTTCAACACCCAGTAACGAGATAGCGCTGTACCCATTCAAACATCATTAATTAAGATACAACAAGGCATTTAGAACAAAGAAACCTACATCGCCCACATTAAGTTTCATTACCAGTTAGCATCAGGGCCGCCACATCGGGACCAGATTCTGGCCACGCCCCCCCTCCCTTTTTTTTTCGTCGCGCCACTTTTACTAGAGAGCCATATAATAATTGTTAAAAAACTATTAAACCTTCTCTAACTCTACTTCTAACCTAAACAATAACTAAACAATAAATCATTTATATTTCCTACCAAGGTTCCGTGTTCGAATAAGAACACTTGAGGGGACTGAACTCTTACATCACTACGTTTTATTCTACATTTAATTTAATTTAATCAATAAAAGAAAGTGTAACTGAAGAATTGAAAATTCAAGTATTCATAATAACAACCACTAAATTTTATATAATCATTAATCAACACATATAACTAACTTTATTTTAATGTTATGGACGGATTAAAAAGGAAAGTCTCTGTATACAAGATGGCTGAAGGAATTAGTTGAAACAATCATTAAATCAAATATAATCTTATCAGGGCCCGTCAAGTGTAATACACTTTATATAGGCCTAAAAATTCTGAAATACTTTATTTACTAAATTCAGGACCGGACCAGGGCCCCCGTGGGCCCGGGCCCGGGGCAACAGTACCCACTTGCCCCCCCCATGTGGCGGCCCTGGTTAGCATAAATAGAACGTCCAACCTACCGCGGTTGCCGGGCTAACTACACCTAGCTCGGAGGGAGACAATTATTCTTTAGTCTCCCTTGCCAATTGGCTCCATCATCCAGTAGAACCACATCTTCAACCTAACGGTTCCTACCACGAGTTATCTTGAGAATGAGATCAGAAGGGGACCGCAAGGAACAAAGAGAGGCGGAACGGCGAAAAGAGTAGCACTCCTTAAGATAAGGTGAAAAATAGAAAGGGAGAGAATACAGTCGTTTTACGACTGTATGAGAGTCCCTGCCGGCGCAGGGAGCGAATAGGGAGCCATTATAACTTACAACGGAAGCGTGATACGTGGTCATTTTTAAGGACATTGAAAATGAATTTAATGCCATTATTTTGCAGATGCTGAAGAGTATTAAGAAACTCCTCTGATAAATAGTCAGCGTAGTCAATAATAGATAGTAAAAAATAGATATTTTAGGGTTAGTCGGTCCGTTCGTTTCCTACAAAAATCAACTTTTGCTAGAGTCGCCATCTAGTAGAGGTGGTTTTTAGTGCTTTCATTTTTTATAAATACTTCCTTATTGATTTATTATAGAAGATTGAGGAAGTATTTTAAGAAAAAAAGAGAGCACTAAAAATGCGCCTCACTAGATGGCGACTCTAGCAAAAGTTAATTTTTGCAGAAAACAATGTACCAAAGATAGTTATTTCCGTTCTTTTTAACTAACATAATAAAAAACTAAAATTTGCAAAGTTCGAAATTTAGATATAATTACGATTACAAAAAAGTACAAATAGAATATGAGTTGTTTATTGAGTTTGAAAATTAATTTAATTTTATACATGAAAGAAAACTGGGAGGGTTGTCATGGAGAAATCAAGAAAGTACCTTAGTAACATCTAGTTTGAGTTCGGGAACTATTTTTTTTTTAAATACTTCCTCATTAATAACGTGAATATTTATTGGCGTGTCAACTACTACAGGGTAAAAATAGAAACCGTAAAAAAAGGAAAATTTAAGAAAGTTATGATTATATTCAGACATATTAAAAAATATGATTTACAATACGCATTAATATAGTTGTATGTGTATAACAATGAGTGTAAGCCTCAAAGATTAGTTTAAACAATAAAATGTAAAGATGAATATTTTAAAATCGACGGGCTACAGTAGATAATGAAATAAATGGGTTTATAATTTCTACAGGTAGCGATCGTGAAATTGAGTCTTATCACAATAGTGATATTTATTTTCACAATTCAAATACATAGTGACTGCAGTATATCTAGAATAAACCCGATTGGCGAGCACATTATACGATTAAAACAATATATTTTTTATTTTGCTTCCACACTTTTTGAATGTAAACCATTCAAAACAGTCTGCTTGTTGGGCAGATTATGTCAAATAAAATAGTAACATATCAATTCTTTAATTTATACAAAATTTTTAGGGACTCGAGAATTAGAAATAAGCAAACGTTTAACTGCCACGCCCCGACTGCGAGACTTCTTTTGTGAGAAATACTTTATATGCCTGAAAATTATTATAAAGATTACTTAACTTCTTGCGCATTAAAGTTCTTATTTGGTCTGTGTGAACAAACATCAAAGTAGGTATATTGTTCTGTGAATATCAATGTCGAGATAATGATTAGGTGGTCTGCAGGGGTATGACACTTAGAACATTGAAAAATTCTTTAAAGAAGGCAGAGTCATCTTGCGCCCTGATCCCGAAATGTTTCGTCACAATTTCTCAAAATGTCACTAGATGTCGCTACTACTCACTGAATATTTTCTACAGATAATAAATTAAAAATAAATTATTTTTCATTATTATTATTTGTACATTTTCTAGAATATTTTTTTAAAGCAAAATTTAAAATACATTAGATTCTTTTTATATAAGAAATATTTGAAAAATAACAGATATAAACACACGCTGTCAAAGATGTCAAAACAAAATGGCGTCACAAAATTGTTTGTAGTTTTTTTTCTCGCCACGGGTTTGTTTGGTTAGCACGAGTGTTTTGAGAGTTTTAAGAATTTTAAAAGTTTTAAGTGTTTCCGAGTGATTGTTGTGACTTGTGTGTTTGATTTTGTATTGTTGTGCCGTCCTTGTGTTCGTAATCAGGTTTGTGTTGTACTTGTTATAAATTTTCCAGACCTAAAGATGGAAAGAAATAAACCGCCCGATCCTGACCCCCCTGACACCCAATTCTCCCTATCCCAAAACCCACTGTCACAATTTGCCGACGTTATCTGTAGTATTACAGACATGGATGTGTCCCAAAGCACTCGAAAACGCCCCAATGCTGAAGAAACCACTACCCCTACCCCACCAAGTAAACAGCCCAAAAGCCAAATCGGTCGCGTACGATACTCGGCCGTGGATAAAGGTCCTTACATCGTGCACGTCTCTCGATTGGAAGCTACGCCAAACGCAGGCACCACGTTACATCCCGTCAATTTTGGTAAGTTTTTAATCTTTAACAAAATTGCAAATATTCGTCGTGATGGAGTAAACAAAGTTGGCAGAAACCGCGT